GTCCCCGGCCGCCCCGCCGCCGCTCTCTGGACCGGCCGGAACGGTGACGGTGACCGCGCTGATCTGAAGGCACACCTCCAGACGCTCCAGGGCCGGCAGCCAGGCCAAAGTCGGAGCGGCGGGCGGCGCCGGCGGAGTGGGGGAGACGCAGTGTTCCATTTTTGGGAATTTTGGGTGGAAAATCACACCTAATGGGCAAAATATTTTCATCCCCAAAACCAGGTAAATTGGAATTCTTTCATCTTTGAAAAATGCTCAACGCATGCTCAACAATTAACAGCCAGATTACCAGATACATCTAGCAGCGCCATATAGACAGAACTTACAGGTTTGCTCCATAATACGCAATTTCCATGAAAAAAGATGCTAAATCAAGGCACAAACCCAACAACTCACCCTGACTGACAACGAAAGAAAATAACCTTGCACACTTCCAGCTGTTAATAACAAATATGCGTTGAATGACCTTGATCACCTCAACTGTTTGTAAAAACCAGGCTTGTGTTCTGAATAAATGCTTTTGGATATTCATAACAACTATGATTGGTGGTTTGCTGCCAACGCAAAGCGGATGAGCCGCTGCTTGCGCAAATTAAACACTACCTCTGCAATTCGCTTTTGACTAAGTTACGCAGGATACGCCTACAAAATTTTCATCTTTGGACCCGCAGTCAGCTGGGCACACCCTGGCACACCCTAGGGATGAATTTAAAACTTGGTGGGCTATAACTTGTTTCATATACAAAATAGGGTTATAAGACCGATACCAATTTATTCTACATTCATTTCTGATCCTGTTGTATCAATTTCACCACAAGTTATGTCCGTCAATGGCTTCTAGAGGACTTTAAATCTCGATGTGTCGGGCCTGGCAGAGGTCCAAGATGAGAGAAGCCACCCTGCGCACACCCTAGGGATGAATTTAAAACTCCGCGGTCTCTGGCTGGTTTCATAGGTAAAATAATGTTTTGAGACCGATACCAATTTATTCTGCGTTTATTTCTGATCCTATCGCATCCATTTCGCCACAAATTATGTCCGTCAATGCATAGGCGGCGGAACGATTTGAGACAAGGGGGGGCACCATGGCTCAAGGAGCCAAACCTAGGGTACCCCCAAATCCTGTTTTCTCATCGGATTTAGGCCTCTTATTTTTCGTCACAGCCCTGACACGATGATTTTTTTAAATTTTATTTTTTACTAAACGAAAATGGCAGTTCACCCCCGTATGCAGGGGTGTAATTTTATATCTCTTTGTGGGGGCATATGCACCCACAATCCTGAATTATGTATGCCCACACAATGATGAAAATGCACCCACAAGTCTTTTACAAGGCTGCAAGCGTCCTTTCGAGAGTACGGTGCCCTTCGCATGCTCTAACGGCGTCATCCTGACCGTCTCGCGTTCATGGATAATATAGCGTTTTTAATCACTCGGCGCCCTTCTGGGAGAATGGCGCACTTTTGACAGCACCGCGCCATTCTCATGGTCTAACGGCGCTCTCCTGACCGTCTCGCGTCCTCAGGTCTCTGTTCACCGTGCATCCCTCGACTGTTCGGCGCCCTTCTGGCCTCTCAGCGCCCCTGAACCACATATAGCGTTTTCAATCACTCGGCACCCTTTTACGAGAATGGCGCCCTTTTCATGATCTCAATGCGCCCTCGTAACCATCTGGCGTCCCCACGTCCCCACCAACGTAGCACTACTGACTGTGCGGCGCCCTTCTGGCCTCTTAGCGCCCCTGGACCACATAGCATTTTCAATCACTCTGCGCCCTCCCAAGAGAATGGCGCCCTTTTCATCGTCTCACGGCGCCCTCGTAAGTCGTAACCGTCTGGTGCCTCCACATTTGGTGCCCCTCCTACTGGATGGCGCCCTCTACAGCTTTTTACGTCCTTCCGGTCAGTTTCCACTTTTAAGCGTGTATTTGCTTAGTCAGACACGTCACTTGAAGCGCCATTCGGCTAGCAATGTTATCAAATTCGGTGTTAATTTAGGCTCCCACATAAAGAATATCTATCGCGCCCCAAAACGGCCTGGCGCCGGGCGCCCCTACAGCTGGGCACCCACAATCATTTTAGGAAAATTACACCCCTGCCCGTATGTGTGGTTAACTTTAAGCTGATCCCCAAGTACCTATGTGTTTGTCTCTTCCTTATTCTCGTTTGATAAATTCCATTAATCCTACATGTAACAAATTACCAAGAAGCCATCGCATGGTACTAATCAATGGCGAATCCCAGGGTGGAGGTCACATGGGTCATGACTTAGGGCCTGGGGTCACCACATGCCTGCCAGGAGCACCACAGGCCTGACAGCCGACAGGGGCACCACAGGCCCGCCAGGGGTACCATAGGCCTAGCAGGGGCACCACGGGCCTGTCAGTGGCACCACAGGCCTGTCAGGAGCACCATCGGCCTAGCAAAAGCACTACAGGTCTTCCAGGGGCACCACAGACCTGCCAGGGGCACCAGAGGCCTGCCAGGGGCACTATCGGATTCGCAGGGGAACCACCGGCCTCGCAAGGGCACCATGGGCCTGTCAAGGGCACCACAAGCCTGTCGTTGGCAATTTAGGATTGTCAGAGGCACCACAAACCTGTCAAGGGCACCTGCGTTCTAACAGGGGCACCACAAACCTGCCAAGGCCCAGGGACACCACAGGCTTAGCAAGGACACCACAGGCCTGTCAGGGCCCATGGGCACCTAAGTCATGTCAGGGCCCACCGTAGGCTTGTCAGGGGGCAGGGTAGGTAGGTACCACAGTCTTTCCAGGGGCATCAGCGGCCTAACAGGTGCAGGGGCACCAGTCATCACATGACTAACCAAAAATAAAGAAAATAAAAAAAAACTGAAAATAGGGCACCACCAAAATTAAGTGGCCGAAATCCGTTGAGGTTTTAATTTTGGGCATAGGTAGGGGCACCACTTCGAGTCATGGCACTCCCCTTGGAGTTTTCCCCGAATCTGCCCCTAGTACTAATACATCAAATTTAAGGGGGGGCACCTTGCTATTGGTGCCCCCCTTGCAGAATTCAAGGGGGGGCACGGTGCCCCGGTGCCCCCCCCGTTCCGCCGCCTATGCGTCAATGGCTTCTAGAGGACTTTAAAGCTCGAGGCGTCGCGCCTGGTAGAGGTCCAAGATGAGAAAAGCCACCCTGGGCACACCCTAGGGATGAATCTAAAACTCCGCGGGCTCTGGCTGGTTTCATAGGCAAAATAATGTTTTGAGACCGATACTTATTTATTCTGCGTTCTTTTCTGATCACATTATATCAATTTCACCACAAATTATTAACGTTATTAGTTTTTAGATGTCTTTAAAACGAGGCGTCGGGTCGGGCAGGGGTACAAGATGACTGACACGCCACCCTGGCACACCCTAGGGATGAATATGAAACTCTGTGGCCTCTGGCAGGTTTCATACGCGAAATGAGGTTATAAGACCGGTAATGATGTATTTTACGTTAATTTCTCATGCTTTTGCAATAATCTTACCGTCAATTATTCATTTCAATTAGTTTCTAGAGGTTTTTAAACACGAAGCGTTCGGCCGAGGGAAAGCCAAGATGAGTGAAAGGATACCTTGGCACACCTCTAGGGATAAATTTAAGATACGGTATTCCCAGATCTGCCCAATACATGTTCTGAAGCTGGTAGATTGGATTAAGAAGGCCCTAGCTTTTTAATAAATTATCCCTCGCCCGTATGGGGGGGGGGTCGAGCGAACCACCCCCTCGTTTTTTTCGAGAATAACTCGCGAAAAAGCGGCCGATTGCGACGAAACTTTCAGGACCCTCGAGTCAATAAATTGGACACCTACTCTGAAAATCTCATATTCCTGACCCAAATGACCTTTGACCTGTGACCTATTTCTTGAGGCCATGTTTGGCCGGAATCGCGATTCGGCGTATGTCGGCTCGCATTATGTCCTGATGTCCTGATCAGCGATGCCCTCCGTTCCGTTGCAGTTGCTCTGATCAGTGATCACTGATGCCCTCCGTTCTGTTGCGGGTGCTCTGATCACTGATCACTGATCAGTGACGCTCTCTCACTCAGCACTTACCACGTGACATGATACGTAGCTACCGCTCCGTTTCGGTGGCCGGCCATGAGGTCGGTGGCAACCTTTTATCATTTTTTTTTTGCGTCCCGTTCCGTTCCGATACGGATGCCCTGGTTAGTTGCACACTTTTTATTGCGATGTTGCGCATTAGGTATGCTGCGCAGTGCACATCGTTCCGTTTGGGGTGCCCTAATCAGTGACCCTTTTCTAGTCTCATGTAGTGCACCGTTCCTTTCGAAGAGTTGCGCTGACACCGTTTCCATTTTCACTATGCGTAATGAGTACCGACTATCGCTGGCCGTTCCGGCGTTCGGGCCGGGAGATTCCCGGCGTATGTCATGCTGCATAGTGCGACTGCAATTGCATACTCAATACTGCGTCCCGTTCCGTGTGCTCAGAGCGAAGGCACCATTTCCAGTATCATCCAGCCATTGTCATATCTGTTGAAAATGGAAAGCTCAAAGCTATACTGTGTACAGTCTGTCTTAAAAGTACCGCGCAAAGTGGCGGTGGATCCATCAAGCCTGACCGAGAAAGGTCTGCTTTAATTTGAAAGTCACCGAACCAATTGAGCTGGGGAATGGACGAGAATGTCCATTGCTTCGGTGACCCAAATTTAGCAGGCCCTTCCTCAGTCAGGCTCGATGGATCCACCGCCACTTTGCGCGGTACTTTTAAGACAGACTGTACAGTCTGTCTTAAAAGTACCGCGCAAAGTGACGGTGGATCCATCAAGCCTGACCGAGGAAGGGCCTGCTATAATTTGAAAGTCACCGAACCAATGGAGCTGGGGAATGGACGAGGATGTCCATTGCTTCGGTGACTCAAATTTGGCAGTCCTTCATCGGTCAGGCTTGATGGATCCACCGTCACTTTGCGCGGTACTTTTAAGACAGACTGTACACTGTACGAATGTTACCAGGTCAGATGCGAACGAAAACTACGTACTTATATTGCCGCATATTATCTCAAATATACAGTAATCTTGGAAGCAGTGCTGCCATATTGTAGGCGCAAAACGTCCCAGAGGACAGAACACATGAGTTATACGGTTTCTGGTTTCATAGCGATCAGTTACGACAACAAACTGCCCATCAGGGTATCATGATTACCTAAGATTTTATGTCTGACAGTGTCACAGTGATGACCACGCCTCACGCATTACACAGTCTGAGTCAACTGCACTAAATCAATAATACAGGACGACCGAATGATACCCTTTGCAACGGCAACGACAGGTTCCTTGCCACTTCCTTTGCTTAAAAAAGAAAGAAAACTTATCCACATGGCAAATTACACTACACCAGACCAGATACCTACCTTGACCAGTGACTAGAACCAAAGCCTGCATATAGGGAGAGCTCCCTCACCCGCCCCTCCCCCACCCTCCTTAACCCTATTAGTGGCAGGGGGGGGTTGTTTTCATCCACCCCTCAGGTTTTTCGGGAATATCTCCGAAACCGCTGAAGCTACGATGCTGAAATTTTCTGACTTTTCCTAAAACTAAATTGGGCACATTCCCTGAAAATTTCAAGTTCATAACTTTACCAAGGGCGGCTCCAGAGCACTGGGAATTGGGGGGTCCTATTCGTGAAGCGAGTCATTTGGGCGATGATCACGATGCTGATGTATTATAACTGTATGCACCAGTTTTATCATGTGATAACATATACAAAGTTATTGTGCATCCTCTTTTGACACGTTTTTGCTATAATAGGCGGATCCAGGCGTCCAAAAAGGGGGGTTATGTTTTACCTCCCAACATAGGTGCCCTGACACCGCCTATGCATGACCAATACAATTGTAGTCGTTCTCTCATAAGAAAATTGTAACATAACAAGACCATTACCACCCTTTTTAGAAACAGTACCAACAAAAACCTTATTTGCTATACTTTTTGTGTACCCCCAATCTCAATGATCTGTATCCGCCTATGATTTTTGAAAATGCATATTTTTAGGATCCATGTGAATTCCTGGTTCATTCTTTATCGATCGGCAAAAGTTGCGTTAAGATTGGTTCAGAAACCTGGCCGTGATAAGCAGTCTAAAATGTATCTGCAATTTGCCCGTTTTTACCCCCCCTCAACCCCCCTTTTGACATTTTCTTAATTTTTTTTTAGAAATGTAGATCACGTTGAGCGAAGTCGAATGCCGTTTGAATTTTGAAAATCGGCCCGTTAGATCTCGAGATATCAAGGGGGGGTTGTAAACAGCCCCCCCCTGCCACTAATAGGGGTAGCCAGGAGCCTGCCACTAATAGGGTTAAGATATGACAACAGATTTCAACAGAATCATTGCATCTTCTGCTTCTTAAAGACCTAGTTCGCTCGCATGATGGCGACTGGCGTCGCGAGGATGGAGGTCCGCGGATGATCTTCTTTAGGAGAAATATACAGGCAGAAGGACCGTCCTGGATCCGTGCCAGTAAGCATGAGTAGGAACTTAGCAGATGCTGACGGTAATATCTGCTGTCTGCATCTCAAACGGAAAGGAAGGCATTGATTTAAGGCTAGGAGAAGGATGGCCACTGGACTGTCATTCAATTGTGACAATGCATTTTGACTTGTGAGGAAAATGAAATCTCACTGGTTGAAGTAGGTATTCATTCTTTGCTGTATAAGAGACAAGGGTGATTCTTAAATTCATTAGTCTCAATCAAACACAAATGTTGGGATAAAATGGGACGGATTTAGAAACACTTGGCGATCAGATGTTAAAGCTATAATTCTGCCGTAGATCATCCTTACCTATTTGCATCGTCTTTTTCGGTTAGTTTTGGTGGTCAGGAATGGTATGTTCTTTTATTATCAGCCAGCGTAGCGTTACGCCTTTATTGCGAAAGTGATATAGGTTTTCACTTGTTTTTTTCTCATCCTAGATTTTTTGGTCATCATCGTCACACCCAACCAAAATCCAATTTTAGAACACTGGGGAGACGGCCGCCGCAGCGGGGGTGTTGGGTGACACTGCAGGTAGGACGCCGCCGCCCGGTCCTCCGCTGGCGGCGGCGGCGGCGGCGGCTGGGGCAGTGGCGGCGGCGCCGGGCCACTCAGCTGCTGGCCAGCTGAGTGGCCAGGGACAGCCAGAGCGGTCGCGGCCGAGACCAGCACCGCCTGGTCAGCCGTCACCTGTAGGGCGCACGGGGAAAAGGGATACAGTCAGGAGCCGCGGCCGTAGTTATTCATTTCCAATCGACAATAGGGCATTGGAGCAGTGTTCCCGCCACTTCTAATGAGTAGTTATGTCGAGCCTACCACAGTGTACTTCACAACTAGAAAACGCACTCAACAATAATCACACAACAACGGCACACTCTCAGGGCCATTCTAACAAAACACCCGCGGTTATAATTAGCATTACTGGTATAATGACTGACCGTGCATCGTGTGTGGACGTGGCAGTTGTAGAGCAGCGCAGCGGTCGGCCGGCGCCGCTCAAGCTGGGAGACACACCGGCACAGCCGGGACGGGTACATGGGCTGCTGCTCGTTCCACTGGATCGTCTGACAGCGCAGCTGGAGACGCACCTCACCGGCCTGAGGACGGGGGAACCGGGACAGATAAACAATACACCAGCAATGCTGGGAGACGCACCTCACCGGCCTGGGGACGGGGGAAGACTGGGTGATACAACCGGGACAGACAAATAACACAGCTGCTGTAGACGTATATACCTCCCCGGCCTGGTGACCGCGCGCGGGTGATGCGACCTCATAGATCAACAGCGATCAGCCGGATCATCGGAGCAAAAAAGCACGCATCTCAGGAGCCCATCTCCTTGCAAGTCTGCGATCATATCTCAACGCCTAACTGCAGCAGCTCTTCAAACAATGCAGCTGATGCTGCCTTTTCGAACATCCCCGCTATGCACGGACCCACGCCGCCCAGCTCCCCGTTGGCGGCCACCACTGTCAGCCGCCGCCCCTTCCTCCGCTGCGCGGAGACCCACCTTTTCCAAGTCTCCATGGCCAGCCACCACGGTGACTCGCGGCTCCAGCACCGTCAGCTACAGGCCGCGAGCCGGGGTGTTGGCCTCCAGCGCCGCCGCCTCTCCGTGCGGCACTGGGCCCGGGCGGGCCTCTCCGTCCGCTGCGGGAGAGGGCAGAGGGTAGAGGAGAAGGTCAGGGCGGGCCTCCCCGCCTGCAGCAAAACAGGGGGAAGGAGCGGTCAGGTGGGTCTCCCCGTCCGCTGCAGGAGAGGGCAGAGGGGCGTTAGTGATAGTGGGCAGATGAAACGGAATGTTTATTTCAAAGATATACGCTTTTTCACTAGTACGGCAACTACACTTCTCAGAGGTGAAAATCGCTGATATAATTGGGACGCACTGCCGAAAAAAAGGAACTTGCAAGTCACAAGCAGCGATGGGGACGACTCATGAAGAACAGTGCATCATGTTAAACAACTTCAAGCTAACTCTGAGCGCTACTCAGTACACACTACTCACCCTGCTGGGGCCGGCTGCAGGGCGGGTATTGGTACTCACTACTCACCCTGCTGGGCCGGCTGTAGGGCGGGTAGGTGACGCTGTGCGCCGCCGTCAACAGGTGACTGAGCTGTCAGAAAGTCACACGTCAATAAACGAGTCCTTTCTACACGCTGCGTCTAAATCACTCTAATGGACGTTACAAAAACACGCCAGGATTCTACGATCCTTGTCCAGTTTCTGCAGCAGCAGCGCGAGTCACTGGCAGCGCTGTTGCTGCCAGACGACGGCCGTCGGCGCCCGGCGCACGCGCACCGGTCGGCGTGTCAGCTGGTAGCGGCTGTGCGCTGCCAACGCCGGCGCAGCAGCTGGCGGAACACGACAACCTGGCGGGACGCATGGCCGGGTCAGAGGGGGAGTGGGAGCCGACAGGGTCAGCCACATCACAGTGGATGCCTACCTCACCCCACACTGACAAAGTGCCACCATGCCAGGAAAATGTTTCACCTCAGAACAGCATGAACCTAGAAAGAAAACAGGATTGCATAGCTCCTGTATAGCATAGTCATAGACATAAAGCATAGACTCAAATTATTGAGCCATAGCCAAGATTTTACTGAGGGAGGGGCCACAGGTCGCGGCCTAGCGTTGTACCCCCTCCAAAAAGGAAAACTCGGATTTGGCCCACTATTTTTGGGGGTATGGTACAGCTGTTTTTATTTATCTTTATTTTGTTTTATTTAATTTCTCGCCTTTGGGGTAGACCATGACAGCCGTGGCCACTCCCTTGGCTACATCCCTAGATTGAACGAAGAAGCAAATTGAAGAAGCAGCTTTGACCATAGGCGCAAACATAATATGGAACAGACTACATTTTTATACAGTATGTTATGAAGTCAACATTGCATGCTTTATATAGGCAATCTAATCTTCACCAATCCATTTTGTTAAGCACTTATCTACTTTTCTAGTTTCAATTGATTGGTCAATGCTCGTATACATAATTATCAGCATTCAAATATATGATGCTGAGACATGTTCAATCTCTGACCAACTCCCTGTATACAAAAGAAATAATTGTAGCATTATGCATAGGGTCATAACTTACTGATCACTTTCTGTCAACAGCCTGCAAGCAGCATTGCGATCTTCCCTCCGCAGTGACGGAGACCTCTGTCATGTGCGCATGGTGTGTTGTGTTGTGTTGGCATTCAAGAAATTTCAACAGCTAAGAAGGAAAAACAAAACATTTCTTTAAATACCTGCATGTTTGCTATAATAGCAAGCTAGGATGCAATGAGTATAAAAGTATACAAAAATCCCAATCAATAGGTTCAGAATGGAATAGGTTGTGAGGTGTTAGGTACTGTAGTAGGCTGGTTGGAAGGTTTGTATGTTGTAGACATCTGGCATGGGGGTTTTAGGTTGGTATTAAGGGTATTACAAACTTTTTAGGAAAGTAGGTAAGGTTAGGTCAGGAATGTTGGTTATTTTCATTCAAATTTCACAATTGTTCACTTTAATTGTATTCCAAATTGACACAAATTTTTAAAAGTTATGGTGAAAATATGCTCCTTTCCTATGTGAATTGTGATGTTAGTATTTGAATTTTATATGCAGGAAGTCAAACATACTTACATTGACTATCATACCACCAACTACAAAATGCCCAATCAGAGACACTTTTGTTATTGTATGAGCCGCGTCATATTTGAAAGCAAATATATTTGCTGCCAAGTTTCCCCCTTCATTGGCATGAAGTAAATCCTTCATTACGTCACAGATCCGATCTAAATGACGTCACGATGAAATATAAAAGTCGCAATATTTCAAAAAGTATACAATGAAAACGCGTAAAAACTTGCAGAATTCGTCACAGTGCCCTAAGTAACATTTCCGAATCCTAAACAGGATTTTTTCGAAGGTGGGATAGTCCCTTTAATGCATACATATCACTGAAATTAGAATTAATGCGTTTCTGACCCAATGCACTTTTTTAGGAGTCTTTGGTCGGCTAAACACGCAAGGGTATCAGCTTGTATGCATGCATTGGCACTATAACGAAAAGCCATTTTGTCTCTGACTAGTCTAATGTGAATTGTGTAGGTATTGCATTTTAGCTTTCCATGTCAGTGTAGTGAATATTACTAAAGAACAATTCATATTTCCTTTTCAGACTGATTCTCATTTGCTTCACAACCTCTATATGATGATGGTGCAAGAAGAGGAAGTGCCAAAAGACCTGAGCACTATTAGGAGAAAATGCAAGTTTGTTGTTCCCATTAAAAACCGTCCATGTCGCATGCTGGCCTTGGATGGAGAAGTGTTTTGTGGTGAACATATAGTGCTTGACACGGAGTATTTATCACAGGTCAGTTTTATTTTTCAGTTTAATTATCTTACATAGGCAATTGATGCTTATTTCCATTGTTGTATGATAATCTCTTACAAAAGCAGGTTCCAATAAGTGTGAATCTGTAGAAGCAGCAGGTGCTTAAGAATATATTTTAGAATATGTTTTGCAATGCAAAGTTTTGCTTTATTTTTTAGTATTTTTAATTATAAATAATTGTTTTTGCCCATGATTAGCATGTTCCACTCATTGCTTGGTGAATTGGTGATGGTGTTATTCTATGTGATTTATTTCAGAAAGAAGTTCCAGAGGATCGTCTCCGCATCAAGTGTCCCTTGGACCCTCGACAGTAAGGTCACATGCTTAATTGAGCTTAAGGATTTAGTTGCATCAGTACTTTTTGTTTATCGTTCTTTGTTGTAATGAGTGTCAGTAAGCCATATTTCATCATATTGAGCATAATCCATAATCCAACCATTAAAATAGAATCCATCATATTTGGTGGATAACACTAAAAATTATAGCCGCTGTCATTGGGATGGGCTTCAGATGCATTTTTATAACAAAAATGTAGTCATGGCTAACACTGGGCTTGCATAGCTCCAGCTGGCTAACATTGTTCATGACAATGTTAGCCGATTTTCGATTTTCCAACTCGGAAAGAAAAGGATGCAGGAAAGTGGGGAGGAAGAACCCAAACCCAGATTGCTTCTAGTCAGCCTGAAGAACAAAGAGGATGTGGAATCATTGATGACGAGGAGATGGGAATTGAAGGAGGTCGGCTTTAGCAATGTCTACCTCACACGGGACTTATCCCCAGAGGAAAGGGAGGAACAGAAGAGACTGAGGGAGGAACTGACTAAGAAAGGAAGAGAGAACTACAGAATCTTTCGGGGGAAAGTCGTCCCCAGGTACTAGCACCATAAGTACACCCTGTCAAATGAGTGGTATGTACACAAATGCAAACTGTTTGACCAATAAGCTTAGTGAGTTAAGAGGTAGAATTGATGAGAAAAAGCCAGATATGATAGGCATTACTGAAGTTTGGCAAAAAGGCGACTTTGAGATACAAGGTTACCAGCAAGTTCGGAAGGATAGGACAGCAGGTAGACTGGGTGGAGGTGTGGCCATATTAGTAAGAGACTGCTGGAAGATTGAAGATTGCAAAGATTTAAATGATGAAGGTATTGAAGACTGCGTATGGTGCAAAATAAGAATCTCCAGACATGCCTGTCTGTTGGTCGGTGTGTGTTACAGAACTCCAAGTAATACTCCAGAAGAGAACAAGATATTGAATGATATGCTGAAGAGACTACCAACTGTAGATGCCAGGTATGTTTTGATCATGGGAGACTTCAATTTCAGACAGATAGATTGGGAAAATGAAACAGTCAATGGAAGTGAGGAATCAGAAGAAGCAAAGTTTCTTGATGCAATACAGGAGCTCTACCTATATCAGCATGTGCGCGAACCCACTCGTTTCAGAGATGGCCAAGAACCTTCCAGGCTTGACTTGGTGTTTACAAATGAGCAAGGCATGATTGAAGAGATCAGTGTTGGGGTCCCATTAGGGAAAAGTGATCACGCTGTTCTCTCATGGATCCTCTACTTGGGAGACCGACCAGACAGAATGGCAATGAAAGATAAGGCAAACAGTCTGAACTTTGAACGAGCTAATTTCTCAGGGATAAGAGAAGCACTAGGAACTGTTGATTGGAATGTTCTAAATGATTTTTCAGTTGAAGAAACTTGGCAGTACATAAAAGGCAAGATAAATAACTGTTTTGAAACCCTAGTTCCAAAACACAGGAAAGGACCATGTAAGAAGGCTGCACCCTGGTGGAACAGGAAACTGACCAGGGCAGTGAAGTTCAAACATGAATTCTGGAAAAAATATGCTGCAACCAAATCAAGTGAAGACTATAAAGCATACACTGTGCAGCGTAATGCAGCTACAAGCAAAATCAGGGAGCGGAGACATGAATATGAAGCGGCATTAGCCAAAAGCGTCAAACAAAATCCAAAGAAATTGTACAAGTATGTCAGGGCCCAGCAGAAAGTTAAACCAGCTGTACACGCAGTTGAAGATGGAGCAAGATTGACCTCAAGTGACAAAGAAACTGCTGCTGCCCTGCAGGTCTTCTTCAAATCTGTCTTTGTAGAAGAGGGTGATGCTCCCTTACCAGGATTTGAAGATCGATTGCAACCAGAGGAAGCCATCACAGACATAGAAATAACACCTGAATCAATCAAAAATGAGCTTGTCAACCTATGCGAACCAAAAGCACCTGGTCCTGACGGCATTCCCAACATTGTATTGAAGAGGTGTGCAGAACAGCTGACTCAGCCTCTCCACCAACTGTTCAACAAGTCACTGCAAGAGGGTCAAGTACCGCAGGATTGGAAGGATGCAAATATTGTCCCGATATACAAGAAGGGTAACAGAAATAAACCAGGAAACTACAGACCTGTAAGCTTGACCAGCCAAGTTGGGAAAGTGTTGGAAAGGTTAATTAAAAGGAGTGTAACAACTCACCTCGAGAGAAATGACCTCTTGAGCGAGCACCAGCATGGATTTGTATCCAGGAGGTCTTGTCAATCCAACCTACTCGAGGCTCTAGAGCACTGGACGAAAGCTATCGATGATGGACGAGGAGTTGACATACTTTACCTAGACTTCCAAAAGGCTTTTGACAGTGTGCCACACAAGAGACTTATGAAAAAGCTTTCTGGGTATGGCATCAAAGGAAATGTACTGTCTTGGATATGTGACTTTTTAACAAACAGAAGACAACGAGTGGTGATAGGGTCAGACCACTCTGAATGGTGCTCGGTCACCAGTGGGGTCCCCCAAGGATCGGTGTTGGGACCTGTCTTATTCATTATGTTTGTAAATGAGCTCCCAGACCTTGTGCGCAGCAACATGAAAATGTTTGCGGACGACGCCAAGATATATAGACCTATTCAAGTACAACAAGATGCTGAGATACTTCAACAGGACATATTATCCTTGCAGAAGTGGTCCGAAGAATGGCTTTTGAAATTTAACGAATCAAAATGTAAAGTAATGCATTGTGGCTCAAGCAATCCAAATGTTGACTACTTCATGTCTGACGGCACAAACAGTAAAAAGCTGCAAGAAAGTACCTTGGAGAAGGACTTAGGAGTTCACGTGTCAAGTAACTTAAAACCGTCAATACACTGTCAGAAAGCTGCTGCTAAAGGCCGGTCAGCCCTCCGAATGCTAAAACAAGCGTTCGACAGACTCGATCTCGTCAACTTCAAGCCTCTGTTCACCACCTATGTCCGTCCACATCTTGAATATTGTATGCAGGCTGTCGGTCCATACACTGCAAAGGATATCAGGCTGCTGGAACAAGTACAGAGGAGGGCGACAAAGCTTGTCAGACCTATAAGGAACCTACCCTACCCAGAACGCCTCCACAAACTTGGACTTCTTAGCGTGGAAGACAGATTGCGTCGAGGCGACCTCATCGAAACGTACAAGCTCCTAACAGGGAAGGTTAAGGTGGATAGTGAGCAGTTCTTCGAAGTCGACCATGAAGACCGCACTAGAGGACACCATCTGAAACTGAAGAAAGGCAGATCAAGCCATCTGTACAGGCTGAAGTTCTTTTCAAACAGAGTAGTAAACGACTGGAACAAATTGCCAAGAGATGTGGTGGAGGCTCCATCTACAAATACGTTTAAAAACAGGCTAGACCACAGGGCTGCCGAACCTGCCTCCTCGCACCACAATTGACCTCATTCCTAGTCCGGCTCGATGTGAGCACTGAATAGACCTAGTCTACTACAGCTCACTACAACTTCAACTTCAACTTCAACTTCAACAAATTTTGATGATAAGAAATCAAAAATGTATACAATCAATTCTAGTATTTTAAACATGAGGAGCATTTTGGTTTCCAAAGTAAACAGCCATTGACAGAAATGGTTGTAACATTCACCACGTGCCTTTCCCAGCACCTGCTACCTGAAGAAGCTCCAGAAGCATCTGAAGGTGTGTAACGCCCGCGAGAAGGAGCGGCCGCCGTATTACGTGCGAGACATCAACGCCGGTGACAGGTCGGCCGGGCCGGGCGGTCCGACCATCCACGAGCTCTCCGACCAGGCGCTGCTCGACCTGCTCGACAAGATCAGCGCCCTCCACAGCGGTGAGCTGCCGGAGACGGCGGGCGCGGGTCCCTACCGGAGACGGCGGGCGCGGGTCCCTGGCGGATGAAGAGAGCGCATACCTGGTAGATGTAAAGCGCGTGTTACGCTGCTGCTGAATGGGCGTTAAGGTGGCCGTGACTGGCTACGTAACGTTTAACTGGGACCCGAACCGTCTGATTGGGACCCGCGCGGTGTAACAGGAACCCGTACCGTGTAACTGGGACGCGGTCCGTGTAACTCTGTGACCCATACCGTGTAACAGTTGCCGTACTGTAACTGGGACCCGTACTGTGTAAGGGGCCGAACCGTGTAACTGTGGCCCATACCGTGTAACTGAGACCGTACCGTGTAATTGGGACCCGTACCGTGTAACTGGGACCCGTAGTGTATAGCATGGTCCCGACTCCCTATTGTGTAACAGGTGCCGCACTGTGTAACTGGGACCCGTGAGGGACCGTGCCGTGTAACTGTGGCCCATACCGTGTAACAGGGTCACTACTGTGTAACTGGGACCCGTACCGTGTAAAAGGGTCCCTACTGTGTAACTGGGACCCATACCGTGTAACTGAGACCGTACCGTGTAACTGGGACCCGTTCCGTACCGTGTAACTGGGACCCGTAGTGATAACATGGTCCCTACTGTGTAACAGGTGCCGACGCCGTACCGTGTAACTGGGACCGTACCGTGTAACTGTGGCCCATACCGTGTAACAGGTGCCATACTGTGTAACTGGGGCCCGTACAGTGTAACAGATGCCGTACTTTGTAACTGGGGCCCGTACCGTGTAACTGGGACTCGGTCCGTGTAACCGTGACCCATACCGTGTAACTAGGACCAATTCCGTGTAGCTAGGACCCGTTCCGTGTAGCTAGGACCCGCTCCGTGTAGCTAGGACCCGTTCCGTGTAGCTAGGACCCGTACCCTGTCTCTGGGACCCATACCGTGTAACAGGTGCCGTACCGTGTAACTAGGACCCATTCCATGTAGCTAGGACCCGTTCCGTGTAGCTAGGACCCGTTCCGTGTAGCTAGGACCCGTACCCTGTCTCTGGGACCCATACCGTGTAACAGGGGCCGAACCGTGTAACTGTGACCCATGCCGTGTAACTGGGACCCGTACCGTGTAACTGGGACCCGTACCGTGTAACTGGGACCCGTACTGTGTAACTGGGACCCGTACTGTGTAACAGGGGTCGTACCGTGTAGCTGGGACCCGTTCCGTGTAACTGTGACCCGTACCGTGTAACTGTGGCCCATACCGTGTAACAGGTGCCGTACCGTGTAACCGAGAATGGTACCATTTAACCGGGACCCGTACCGTTTGCGCCCGCCTGTGACCGCCGCCGGGTGGCCCGTTCAGAGCACGTCTCGCCGCCGGAGGTGGCCGAGGAAGCGGCGCACGAGGCGCTCTCGGAGAGCCTGCAGAACCCGGCCTTCGGCGCGGACACGCTCAAACACCTGCGCCAGAACTCGTCGCTGTTGGCCGTTCTGCGGGACGCTGGCCTGCTGCAGCCCCACGACGCCACATTCGTCGACCTCGGCTCCGGAAAAGGTGCGTTTTCACCGTCCCTGTCCGAACGTCTCTCTGCAACGTTCTCATTAGCTGATGGACTCCACCTGTCGTGACCGCCTGGCTGGATCAAATTTACCATCGACACTCAACAGCAACTGCAATATGTCATGGCGTCGCTATGAATGTGTTTGAGCCACAGTCACTGCTCTGTAACTCGGTGATCACCGGTGTCGCTATGTCATTGGCAGCCCAGCTGTCGTTCTGGCTGGCGCGGGCCGTCAGCGGTCGCTCCCAGATTGTGCTGGTCGACTTCGCCTCCCACCGGCACAAGGCCGAGAACAAGCTGAAGGACGTTCCGGGCGCCCCCGAGGTGCAGCGGCTCAAACTGGATATCCGCCACCTGAGCCTGGCCGGCTGCGAGGCGTGCCGCGGCCGGCCCGTGGTCACCATTGGCAAACACCTCTGCGGCGCCGCCACCGGTGGGTGACCGGGGGGGGGGGGGGGATCACCGGGGGTGGGGTGGGGCTGGTCACCATTGGCAAACACCTCTGCGGCGCCGCCACCGGTGGGTGACTAGCGGGGGGGGGGGGGGCTCACCGGTGGGTGGTGGGGCCCAATGGTGGGTGGCCGTAAGGGGGCTTATCTGCTAACTAGTGGGTGGCCCGGAGGGGGGGGGGTGCGTTTAACATACCTACCGCGCGATCAGTGCAGAGGACTTAACATGACCATCATCGCCTCACATACCGGGGAGGGCTACAGGATGTCTTCCGATGTGAGCTAATGGTATGCTCGCATTGTGTCTGTGTATGTAGGTATTTGGTTAGCGTGTGTCGTGACTTTAGCAGATCACCTCGGTTCCCCCGCCCGCCGCTAACACCCCTGTCTGTCTCAATTCTCAGACCTGGGCATCCGGGCGGCCACCGTGGCTCCCAGTGACGTCCATCGGACGCCGGCGGGCGTGGGGCAGGACAGAGCAGCGGTCTCTGCCAACACCCAGACCGGGGACCAGAGCGGACCACAGACCGGGGACCAGACCGGACCACAGACCGTGGACCAGAGCGGACCGCCGGCCGCGGACCGGACCGATGAGTCGGGAGAGCCGACCGCCGCCGACGTGCGCGGTATCATGATCGCCGTGTGCTGCCACCACCGAGTCGACTGGCCCAGTTACGTGGGCAAACAGTTCATCCAGGTGAGTCTGCGGCGGGACATATCATCAGTGGACAGACCGTTCCCGTAGGGAAGTCTGCGGCGAGGCATAGGGGACGGGTGGTGCCGCAGCACATGTTCCTGTCGAACTAACCGCACAGTGCACACATTTGCCGCACACATCATAGCCCCACTGACATTGCTATAGCATTCGCTGATGTTTATTGATGACCGCCAGTGACTGCAGAGTAACTGCCGACTCCCTTTGGCCGCTACTGAGCAGAGTAACCGCCATTGACTGCAGTGTAACTGCCCACTCCCTGTGGCCGCTACTGAGGCAGAGTAACCTGTGCCGCAGGATGTGTGCGGGTTCTCGGCGGCCGATTTCGCCGCGCTGAAGGGCGTGGCCGCCTGGGCCACGTGCGGCACGCCTGGCTGGGACCCCGAGCGGCCCAGCAACCGCCGAGGACAGCACGAGGCGCCGCGCAAACGGCGCTACAAGCCCGCCGAGCCGGCCGACAAGAGGCCGCGGCTGGAGGGCGCCGCGCCGGGGACTGGGCCGGCCGGCCAGCCGGGACAGGGGTCCAGCGACCAGTCTGAATCGGCGCCCTTCGACCAGACAGAGTCGGCAGCCGCCGACCAGACAGAGTCGAGTACTACCGACCCGCCGGGGCCGCAGCCGACCGACCAGCCGGGGCCTGAGCCGGCCAACGGACCGGGGCCTGAGGCCGGCGACCAGCCGGGGCTAGAGCCGGCTGACAAACCGGGGCCCGGCTCCCGGGACGCCAGGTGAGCCTCATTCACTGTTTGTTTTGTTGGGTTAGGCCCTTTCGGTCCAATGAGACCATTTCAGAGCCGGGAGGATGATAGGATATAGGGGGAGACATTGGTCAAGTGAGTCGCCGGGGGCTGAGCCCGTCCAGAGGACAGGCCACCCAGCCCCAAGGCACTCACTGCACCCGGCTACGGGGTGCGCTCCCTCGGGAGCAGCGGTGCCGCTCCAAGGGAGCAGCCTGCATGAGATAAAGTTACCTGTCCAGCCCGGAGGTGGGTTGCGGCGTGGAGGAGAAGAACTTCCGTATCCTGAGGATAGAAGCATGGAACGGTGTATTCACTGTCCCGCCAGGCGAGTCTCATTCACTGTCCCGCCACGGCACTAATCCTCGCCGCTGCACCACTGATCCGCGTCCCTCTCGTCTGTTCGTGGCCTGGGCGGTGTTTCACGGGCTGCTGCTACCACGCTGCTATCAAATTGCGCGAGCTGACGTCACACTTGTGGTAGTGTTGGAGCAATGGGCCTGTTGATGTCTCCATGGAAACCCAATTTGACAAGTCGTAAAATCGGCGTGCTGCTATCACCGGTGAAACAGGGCCCTGGTGTGTAAGGTGCCACACTGGTTGATCAGTTGCAGTGAGCCCGAGGCGGGGAGGGAGCACATTCTTTAATCTTTAGCCCGCTTCGGTATACAGGTCGGCTGGCAAGTGAGGCCTGTGCTAGTCCCAGCACACTGTGTCGCCATCTACGTACGTTGTGTAAAACGCAGTTCACACTTGCCCGTAAGGTCTGCCGGTGACGGGCCCGACACCGTCAAAACGGCCGAAACCGACGGAGCGACGGCCGTCAGGTCGACGGGCATGTGTGAACCGGCAGCGATTGACGGCCGGCAACAGCTGACTGCGCCGGCGCCGGACCTGACGGCCGTCGCTTTGGAAAGTTCAGCAATGTTCAACTTTTGACGGTGACGGGCCCGTCGGTTTGAATGTCTGCGTGTTGGAGGAAGAGGAAAAGGAACCTTCTCATGCAGCATGAAGCTTATGTGCATTTTTGAGATCATTTCTACCATTTTCCATCCATTTGTTGAGATGAAAGTGTTTATTACGGCCCGATATCTTGAGATTCGATCCCTGATTTAAACCAGCGAACCGATGTGTCTTTCATTTAAATAAAATCGCAGCATTATTTGACGTAAAAATGTAAATGCGTGGTATTTCATTTCTGCAATTCAAAGAATATTTTTAACCTCTCGGCTTCACCGTCCCCCATCCCCTTCCCCCATCTGCGTCAATCTCGAAAATGGTGCGCCATTTCTGTCACAACATATGGCAGCCAATGGGAGCTACCAAATCTCAACTTTCGTTTGACGGGCTGCAGGCCGTCAGGTCGACGGTGACGGGCCCGACACCGACAGACTGACGGTCATGTGTGAACTGCGTTTAAAACTTGGGTCCAAAATATTGCCGGTGAACCGGGCGCGGGTTGTGCGGCCGAATAGTGGTTCAGTGGTGTCACTGGCGACACAGACACACGGAGCTTATCGGGCTTCCGGGGCTGGATCCTTCATACAGCCATTTATCTAATAAAAGAAAACTGTGTTTATTCCAAAAATCGTTGTTTCGCTCCCGGTTATGATGCTTACCGCCTCGCCTTTATGCATGGTGACTGCATTCTCGCAAGGACGCGAACACCAGCTTGTGACATCACCTATAGGGAACACGCTGCAGCTGTTGAGAAGCTGATGCTCTGGCGGCCCTTGCACGGTCGTGGTTCCGCGATACCCGTGTCTGACATACGTATGGTTTCCTGACGCCATGTTGGGTTGATTGGTCCTCAGATACTCTTGGCCCCCGATGCAGGTGGCTGATGTCTTTTGGTGCCGTGCCTGTGGTCTATTGGTGTTCTGACACCGGTCAGGTCCTCAGATGCCCTAACACCGGTGCAGTGTCTGGGCTGTTTATCACTGACGCCGGTGCATGGTCTGTTGACAACCTGACACCGGTGTGGTCCGTTAATGTCCCCACTCGCAGCTGTCTGCAGTCTGATGGTCCTCAGGCTGGCGCCGGTGTGTCTGTGCCCCTGCGCCGGCCTTTAACAGCCACGGCTGGGTCTCAGCCCCCTGATACCCTGACGCCGGTGTGTCTCTGACTCTGCGGTCGGTCCGGTAGTGTGTGATCCGTTTTTCTCTGACGCCGATGTTTCTCTGTCCCAGCGCCGGCCGGTACCAGCGGCTCGGCCTCAGTCCCGCTGTGTGGTCCTCTGTTCCCCTGACGCCGGTGTTTCTCTGTCCCAGCGCCGGCCGGTACCAGCGGCTCGGCCTCAGTCCCGCTGTGTGGTCCTCTGTTCCCCTGACGCCGGTGTTTCTCTGTTCCAGCGCCGGCCGGTACCAGCGGCTCGGCCTCAGTCCCGCTGTGTGGTCCTCTGTTCCCCGGCCCTGACCCCTGTGTTTCTCTGTCCCAGCGCCGGCCGGTACCAGCGGCTCGGCCTCAGTCCGGAGCGGCGCACCGCCGTCGGCTTCCAGTGCAAGCGTCTGCTGGACGAGGGCCGGCGCCGCTACCTGGAGAGCCGCGGCTTCTGTGCGCGCCTGGTGCGCTACGTGCCGCCGGCCGTCTCGCCGGAGAACGTGCTGCTGCTGGCCACGCGGTGACGGAGGGGGACAGCGGACCCCGGAACAGTAACGGCCGACGGCCCCGAGCGGCGGACAGCGGACCCCGGAACAGTGGCGGACGGCAGCGTCACGGAGCGGCCGACGGTGGGTGCCACACACGGGGAGCGGCTGATTGTTGACCATTGAGGACCGGTCCTTAAACACCGCCGTGTGTCATTGTGTGTTTCAAGACAAGTGTTTTGGTTAGGCTGCAATGCATCCGGTTCACTGTTCATTATTGCAGTCTGATAACGCTTGTGATGTGCAATGGTGGTATTTGAGGGTGGTGTGCTTCTCCACTGGTTTTAGGAGTCGGAGTGACGGTGGGTTAAAAAGTAATTGTTGTGAGCAGTGTTTTTTGACTATGTTAGGAAAGTACAGGGTGAAAAGTACAAAAAAGTGTCACGGTTTTGAACATCTCCCATTTCCTAACTACATGACCTACATCGTTCAAATTTTCCTGAATTAGTGGCAAATAGTATGACATTTTGTGTGGCAGAATTTCAAGTTCTTAGGCAAAATGGTTTTTGCACCGGAACAAAAAATCAAAAAATCTCAATTTTGGGTGCTATAGGAGATGGTATACGTCACTGTCTGCCGACGATTTCGGTAAGACTTCGGCTTTTGCTTGTTGCACCCAGCAACGTGCTCGTCAGTAATTATCTACAACTATAAGAAACAAAAAAAACGCCATGCAAAACAGACAATGGAATCGCAATCACCCATTAGTCTCAGGACAGCGCGGGTGCCATGCCTGACTCTTCCGTCAAAAGCTGCAGTCGCTGACACCGTGCAAAGGACTTGTGACACACTGCACATTGCGCACACCCAGAAGTTCTGCATGTTTGAGTAGGAACTTTAAAACTGTTCATTAGCTATCCTTTCTTCTCTTTATGTGTTTCGGAACAAAACCGAGTAGAGGATTTTGCCATCAAAGATGCCGTCGACTGTCGAAGCATGGAAACTCGCGTCGTCTGAAAATCAATCAGTGTTGATCGTTGCCCATGTTTGTGGCTGTGCTGTGTTTCAGCTTGCTGCTGTGCTCCAGATGGCAGTTGTACACGGTGTTCTTACCTATAAAGGTTTCAAAAATGTATTGATGAGCTTGTTTCTGGATTCATCAGGCGAAAGGGGCCCAGACTCTTCAGGATCGACGGCAGGCCGTGACGTACCACCTCCTACAGCACGAAAATTGAGCTTTTTTTATTTTTTGGTCTAGTGTAAAAACCATTCTGCCTAGGAACTCGTAATTTTACCACATAAAATGTCAAAACATTGCAACTAAATCTGGAAAATTTGAATGATGTAGGCCTTATGGTTACGAAACGGGAGATGTTCAAAACCGTGACACTTTTTTGAGACACCCTGTAATGATACATGCAATCGGAGATGTTTTAATGAGAAAAAAAAGTTGTATTTTTAACTTAAAAATTATATTGCTGAAAGACAGACACTAAAATATAAATTTGATCATGAATATGGAAATGTTTAGCGTATGAACTTTTGAAAGAACTGTGGGTTGTGGGCAGGGGAAAATCCACAGATGAGATGCGATGGCTCAAAAAACAGTCCCAATTCCCAGCTTTCACTGACATGAAAGTAGTAGTATGCTTTTCATGATTCACATCCACTCCTTCAGCAATAACCGGCCGAATTAATGTAGACCGAGCATGCTTGTATCTGCGCTGGTGTCGTCACGTTGTTTCCACGAGCGTCTAATATTTGCCTCACGGCGCCGATGGCACCGGGCTCATGCGCGTCCCGTTCCGCCGCCGCCAGTCACGAGAACACAGTCCCGAAGTGGGCTGGATGCGTCCGGCAGATTTGTGGGCACGATTTGCCGGCGCCGCTGACGGCGGAGAGCGGCCGCACCTCCGGCTGCTGACGACCGTCGTGTACCCCGGCTCTGGGCGCCGTCACGCTGCCGCGGCGGGCCTTCCCCGATTACCGGGGACACGGTGAGACACGGCCCGGCCCCGGACGGTGAGACACGGCCCGGCCCCGGGTGTGTACCGTCGACACGGTGTGAGACACGGCCCGGCCCCGGGTGTGTACCGCGGACGGTGAGACACGGCCCGGCCCCGGGTGTGTACCGCGGACGTTGATTGAGACACGGTCCGGTCCCGGGTGTGTACCGCGGACGGTGAGACACGGCCCGGCCCCGGCGGCGCCGATCCGATCTGCCCGCCCGGCCACGACTCCGCGTCGCCCGTGAGCTGGCGCGGCGCTGCCGCTCCCCGAATCGGCGGGTTGCATCAGCCGGAGCGGATCCAGCGGCCGAGGCGAGCCGTCCGACCCTACGTCCACCGGGCACCGGGGGCGGACGTAGTGTCCCGGACCTGACTACTGGCCTACCGCGGCCGGTTCTGGCCGATCCGACCGCGGCCCGTGCACCACGGAACAGCCCGATAACGACACCGGCCGGGAAGAATGGAAACCGAGCACGGCGATCGCGTCAGATAGCAGGCACCAGGCAGGAAGGGTTCGCGGAAGGCGCGAAACAGGCATCGTTCGTGCCACGATTCACTGTCGTAAGGACTCAGAAAAAACACACCTTGTAACGTGAAGCCAGCTGGAGATTGCAAACTGCATGTGAAAATGCAACATTGCAACATGACATTGTATTGACAATACACCTACTTGCACAAAAGAAACAAAGAGTCACCAGTCAGTGAATCTGACCTTATAATACCGTAGGGCCTCGCGATCAATGGCCCCCAAATGATTATGCTAAATATGCTGCGTCATCGCGACAAAAAGGTCGCGACCATGCCGTGACTCTATACATTCATTTCTAAAGTTATGAGCGTTATTATCATTGACTTTAGAAGTCTCCTCCAACAGTAAATCTTCGTCTCTGTCTCCGGCCGCGGCGTACTGCCGGCGCTGAGCCCTCCGTGAGGCCCACCACGGGACAACACAGTATGTAATGACGGTCAAGTGATAAATGATTACTGAGCTGATGCATCGCTACCACATAAGCTGCCTGATGGCTTACCTTGACGTCTGACAAGTTAGCAACAACACGCTAAAACAAATCCAAAGAGGATTACATGCACGGCGACACTAAAAACAAGCACAGCTCCGCGCGAGGGCCGGCGGCCGACGGTGTGCCGTGCTCCGAGGCCCTCCGAGGCCGCCGCGGCGCGCCGCGCCTCCGGCCGAGGCCGCACGGACGGCACCCGGCCGCCGCCGGCTCCTTTGGCACAGTGCTCTGTCCGCCGGGCCGGACAGACCGGCGCCGACGCCCACCTCTGAGATCGAGCCAGACCGGCGCCCGCGGGCGCCGCGCGCGAATATCATCACAGACAATTGGGGACGGCTCCAGGCGGCGTCCCGCTCCGCACTGGAGTCGGACAGACCCTCCGTTCAGTGGACAGGGTGGCAGAGGACACTGAACGGGGCGACGGGCCCGCACAACCTCCGTTCATCGGAGCTAGAGGCTTCCTTTCTCTGGATGCTGGGACGGCGCCGGGCACCCTATCCATTGGATGCGCCGTTCGCTGGCAGTCCCGCTCGGGAGAGGAGAGCAGTCAACACCATATCTCAGTTCCAGTCGAGACCTATCTCAGTTCCAGTCGAGACGGGTCTTCCAGCAGCGGCCGCCTATAGTGGAGCCGGGTCAGCCCTCAGAGTCGCGGCGCACATTAGCGCGCACAGCCACCAGGTCAGCGGCACCGCGGCGCGGCTGACACCCGAGTGGTCGTCCGGCTCCTGGACGCTGCCGCGTGCCACCGGTCCCCGCGTCACCTGCGCGGGGGGCGGGTCGGCGTGTCCCGCCGGCTCGACCGCCGTGCCCCCGCCCTGTCCGCCCTGTCCGCCCCGTCCGCCCTGTCCGTCCTGCGCGCCCTGTCCGTCCTGCGCGCCCTGACTGCAGCGGTCCGGCGCCGGCGGCGTGCGCCATGCCACGTGCTCGAGCCGCTGGCGCTCCGTGTTGCGGATCTGTCCGTCCCGTGACACACACTTGGGCCGGTAGAACTGTGTGGCGGCGCGCTGCAGCCGCGCCACGCCCTCGGCGTCCACGGGTACTCGACCACGTACTGGAACAGCGTGCTCATCCGGAAGTTGACCGGGTCGATCACCAGGATGTCCTTGAGGATGAGGAAGGGGTCCTGCAGCGCCTCGGGCAGGCCGTGCACGCCCAGCGCCTCCAGGGCGGTGACGTTGTCGGCGCGCAGGTCGCTCATGATGCGCTGCTCCTGGAGCGCCACCTCGTACAGGTGGCGCGCCGTGGCGTCCTGCGCGCTCTCTGGGTCCGGCTCGCCGCCGGCCGGCGCGCCCTCGCGGTCCCATTCGGCGCGCGCGAAGCTCTCCAGGTTGTTGATGACCTGCTGGATCATGTCTCCGGCGCGGCGCACGGGCAGCTCCATGCCGTAGGCGTTGGCCGCCTGGATGCCCAGCTGCTCCATGGTGTGGCCCATGTCTGGCGAGCTCCAGCAGATGGTGAGCGGCACACGCGGGTAGTAGCTGACGAACGCTAGGCACATCTCGTTCTCGGCGCTCAGGCCGCCGAACGTCACGTTGCGCCGGTGCTGGGTGTCGTAGACGCACTCGACCAGCAGCTGGTCGCCGGGCCGCACCAGCACGGGCTGCTGCAGGCTGCGCGTCTGCTGGTAGTTGAACGCGTAGGCAGTCTCCTCGGCGATGGGCGCCAGCTCTGTGCCGTTGGCGGCCACGTGCCGGAGCCGCATCTGGGCGCCGGCCAGGTGCGAGTGCAGCAGCACCGAGTAGACGCGCACGCCGCCGGCCGGCAGCCACTGGCGCGTGCAGCTCGAGTGGCAGAGCCCGTTCACCACGTAGTCGGTCTGGCCGGGCGGCACCATCTGCGTGACGGCGATGTCGTGTCCGACGTTGAGCAGGCCGGCCTCGCTGGGCCGCAGGTGCTCGGTGTAGTAGAGCCGCACGCCCGAGCTGTCCACCACGCCCGGCCGCACGGCCGGGTTGTCGTAGTGGATCTCGGCCATGACGTAGGTAGCGCCGCCGTACTCCTCGCGCAGCGGGATGCCGACGTCGGGCGGCAGCCGCTCGCCGCTGCCGCCCACCGCCCAAACGGCCAGGATGTGACCGCAGCGGCCCCAGTCGGCCGGCATGTTGGGGCTGTAGCAGCGCGCCGCCTGACGCTCCGACACGTACGCCTCGAAGGCGGCGCGCCGCCACTCGGGCACCGTGCACTCGTACACGATGATGTGGTGTACGAACGGCTCGCTGCCCGGCTGGATCAGACCCTCGAAGCCGATAAAGTGCACCTTGCGCGGGAACTCGGGCAGCTTGGTGATGCGGCAGAAGTACATGGTGCGCTCGTCGTCAGGCAGGCGCACCTGCGGCGCCACGATGTCCAGGTAGGGCGTGTCCGGCGCAAAGTGCACGCCGCCCGGCCGGTGCAGGTTGATGAGCCGCGAGCCGCGCCGCGTGCCGTGGTAGGTGAGCCAGCCGGCCGGCCCGCTGCCGGCCGCGCCCGGCGCCACCGGCTGCTCGGAGAAGGCCCAGATGAGCGTGACGGCCCGGTCGGCGGCCAGCGGCACGTCGTCCGGGTCGCACGAGTCGCGCCGCTCGAACAGCAGCTCGGTGTGCGTGCCGTTGGCGACTCCGCTGAGCAGGCGCACGTCCTGGCTGGCGTCCAGCCGCGGCTGCGTCTCGCCGGTGGCGTGCAGGTCCCAGACGGCCAGCGAGCCGTCGGCGGCCGGCGCCGCGGCCACGATGTCGGCGCCGGCCATCCCGCCCGACGGCGAGACGCCGAGCGCCACGTAGCCGGCGGCGGCCACCCGCAGTCGGAACAGGAGGCCGTCGGCGGTGGGCCGCCACCAGAGCAGCACGCGCCCCTCCGAGTCCAGCGCCGCGTGGTGCGGCAGCTCCGGCTCCTCCACGGACGCTGCCGCCGCCGCCGCGACCAGCACACACGCGATCAGCAGCTTCATGTCGGGCCGGCGGCGCGGTGACGGATCACTGGGTGACGGTCTTCGCTCAGCGCCGGGCGGCCGCGGCGCCCGCGTGCCGCGCACTGGCGGCCGCCGCCTGGACGGCACCGCACCGGCCCGAGCGAGCCGAGCGCGCCCGACCAGTTCGGCCCGCCGGCGGCCGGCGCTCAGCGCAGCGCGGCCGGCGCTCACTGCAGCGGCCGCCTCACTCCCATGTATACGGGCAACGAGCGGCCGCTTTGTCTTGTGGCTCGGTCGCATTCCGCGGCTCGGCTCCCCACGGAGAACTGAGGCCACCGGGCGGCTGTGGCCCGCGGCGGTCTCTGAGGGCTCACCTCTGATCCCGGCCGGTCACCGAGAGCCGGCCGTTGGCCTTGCTCCGGCTGACCCCGGCTAAATGCCGGCGCCGACCCGGGACCGCAGCGGCGGCTAATGGTGGGAACGGTGGGACTGCAGCCGGGCCGCGGGCCGCCGCCTCTGCCGGTATTTTCCCAGCGCTCTGCGGCGGCCGGGAGACGGTGGGGAGAGTACTACCGGCTTGTCTCGCTCGGAAACCGCCCGCTGCGCCGGCGGACGGTCGCCACCTGACCCGAACGGCGCGGCGGCGGGATACGTTATCGGTTCTTGTCCCCCTCCCCCCGTTCATATTTCATTTCATCCGTTTTATGGGTACCGCTACTATGCTGCCCTAAATAATTGATAAATCCTGCAATACTGAAGAGCGTTACGCAACATTGAACGTTTTGTCAAAAGTGGACACTTATACTCATATAAAACCTACCGTAACTGTGTCCCGGCGAAGTTGCCATATTTTTCTTTATATGCTTCTCTGAAGTTTGTAAACAAACGTAACTTGACACGGCGGTTGACATTCGACGGCTACTTGTGGCCATTTTACGAGCCCGTTGGGTTCGCTTCCGCTCGAGCTGCGGTGATGGGCCGCTGCCATAACGTCATTAACGCGCGCCGCAGAGGGGAACTGATCCCGATTCCCGAGTAACGGAAGACGGACGCGTTCGGGGCGGCCGTGGATCGGGGAGAGGATCGTCATCGGCAATAAAGCCGCCTAAGGTGAGCCGTGACCACCTACCTGTCCTGTCACTGTTGGAGAGTTCGGCGGTGTCCTGTAGTGCGCTCAGCGGCGCCTGCGAGTTTGTGTCTGCATGGCATGTAAAAAGGAGTGTCCCTTTTTAAAACTTTTTTTCTGTTTTGGTATTGGATCCAGGGAATTCGCTGGCAATGCTCAGAGCTAATATGAATAGCGCTTATGAATTATTGGATAAGATCCTGCTGTTCTTTTTATTATGATGTTTTAGAGACGTTCCCCGGGGGTGATGCCGAATTATCATGCCGCTGCTTTGATGAGGTTTTGTCGGTGAGACGTAGGTAGATGGCATGCAATAGGCACGCGGACAGTGGATACATCGCCCATTAGCACGACTAACTCAATGCGGGTGATGTGTTGATCGGTGAGCGTAGCGTCCCGGCTGCCCATCGTGACAGATCGGCAGCTGTCCCGAGTCCCGAGCCCCGGGTCGGCAGCTGTCCCTAGTCCCGAGTAGAGATGTCAATCGGATACCAACTTTTTGGTATACCGATACCAAACCGATACCAACTCGGTATTTGGTATTTCAATCCTAATGTGTTTGGTATTTTGTTGGTATCATGAAGTATGAACCCTGGCTAATGTTTAAGAGGCAAGAAATCGGTAAAAAGTTGGTATTTTCCTCATGTTCCCATGTTGGTTTGGTTTCGGTATTTCTCCACGGTTTTGGTTGGTATTTGGTTTGGTATCGTTATTCCGATTTTCCGTAATTGACATCACTAGTCCCGAGCCCCGGGTCGGCAGCTGTCCCGCGTCCCGAGCCCCGGGTCGGCAGCTGTTCCGAGCCCCGGGCGGTGGAACAGGCACTGATGAGGCTCTTCCTGGTCACTGAGCGCTGCTCAGAGCGGCCGTTGGCGGTCGGGCCGCGGTCAGTGGGGACGGCGCCCACCCGAGGCCGGCTGGGCGGACGTACTCCGCGGACGGCCGGCCGGCAGCCGACAGTGGCGGTTACCAGCGGCACCCGGCCGGCGCCGCGGAACTGGGCTGCAGCGGCTAACCGGCCCGCGGACACGCGGCCCCGGCCGCCACCTGGCGCGGCGACCTATCGGCCATCGGGACCCTGTGCTCTCCGGACCTAGCCTCCACAGTCGGGGTGCTGTCGGGACCTGCCCTCCACTGTCCAGAACTGTCCGGAACTGTCCCTGCTTCCACTGTCCGGAGCTGCCTTCCACACTCGGGCCGCTGTCCGGACCCGCCTTACACTGTCCGGGACTGTCCGGAATTGTCCCTGCCTCCACTGTCCGGACCTGCCTTCCACTGTCCGGATGCTGTCTGGATCCGCCCTCCACTGTCCGAATGCTGTCTGGACCTGCGCTCCGCAGTCTGGGTACCATCGGGACCTGCCTCGACTGTCCGGACGTGCTCCTCCGGTGTCTGTGGGCCTGTGGTGCCTGGGTCAGTCCACTGCCTGGGGACGGGGATCTGAGTCGTGTCCAACTGCCCACTGCCCAGTGAACAGCCATACAATCTGAGGCTGAGTCACAATCCAGTGTCCAGCGATACGGTGTGCCTCGGTGTCCGAATACACGTTGTGTCGGTGCCCATATAGGATATACACGGTGTGTCGGTGTCGGTGCCCGTATACATGGTGTATGGGCGCCGTCTGCCTGTATATACGGTGTGTCGGCGCCGTCTTCCCGTATATACGGTGTTTCGGCGCCGTCTTCCCGTATACCTATACGGTGTGTCGGCGCCGTCTTCCCGTATATACGGTGTGTCGGCGCCGTCTTCCCGTATATACGGTGTGTCAGCGCCGTCTTCCCGTATACACGACCTGCCGTCTTCCTGTACACACGGTGTGTCGGTGCTGACCGGCGGCCCCCTCCACGGCCGTTCAGGTCCGTGCAGAGACCAGAGCAGCGCATCTCACCGGCTGGCCAAGGTGATCCGGCCGGCCGGCTCACCCCACCCGACCCGGGACCGCCGCTCTGACCGCGTGTATCTCTGCCAAAAATGTCTTTTATTTGATACGCTTTTAGTATTTCTAGCCTTTTATTGGAAAATAAGCACTTATCTAATTACTGTTTACTTAATTTACGCCACGCAATCGGCACCTTTAACGAATGACGTTTGCTAACAAATCGATTTTTATCAAAATTCAAACTGAATGAGGCGAAACAAAGACCTGCGGTCTTCGTGTACCCCAATGTATACTATCATGTATTTTTAGGGGTAAAGTGCATACTAGTTCATCTGTACCTAAACCTACATGATAACCGATATGATATGGCTCCACCACCCCACGCATCACCCACTGTCGCATCGTCCATTCCCAATGTCGTGATGCCACAGTCTATTTAGTCATTATTTAGTGGTCTCAAGTCTCAACCTTCAACTCGTAGCAAGTTCGCCAGAACTGTCGGCAAGACTACAACAACTGAAGACTGTTCAGTTTTTCTTTTTTCCTGCTGGCTGCTTCTGCTGACAGTTTTAACCAATCAAATCCGACAAAGCCTACGCTTGAATGACGTCATATCTTCGCTATATTCTGCCTCAATTCGTGGTTTGGATGGAAAATAGCGTCATAGTGTTAACCGGTCTCGCAGCAGTAGGTAGCTCAAGCTAGGGGCATCAAATGACAATGAACAGCTTTATTTCTGTGGCTGTTGTATACTTATCGCCTATGGCCTCAGCCTTGGAAGGCTTGGAAGTAAAGTGTTTTTATATACCTTGGGAAGTAAGACCCCTTGGAACATAGAAATAAATGTAACAAAGGCTCTGGAAGATTTTGTTGAACGCCTGGGTCTCAATACTACGCGTCATAACCCAGCAACAACAACTTTTGAAGATTTTCAGAAAATACTTGCAGCATAAGAAAGGGACCAGCCCAAGAAGATGGCAGAAACTGATCGTTCCACTTGCAAAACATGGCTGTATTTCATTTCATGTGGCAGTGGTCTTTTTGCTGGAATAGCAGGATGCCTTGTTTTTATATTTTCTTTCAGTAATTATCAGGCTGGGTTCTTGGCATTGTTTTCTGGTAAGTTTGCAGCAAATGTACAAATTGTGATCATTTTTCTTCAGAGTAAACGCACGTGATCACTCAGTGTAGTAAATTTGGTGACAGAAGGGTAGACGTCGCATGAACAGTTGTATGCGTAAATTTTTGTAGATGATGTGATGCTGTGGTAATTTCAGTCTAAGTTAGTTGAAGTACAGAAGCATCTAAGAAAGGTATAATAGTGGCACTTCACCCCTTCGGTTTTTCATGAATACGTTGTGTCAAAAGCAGCCAATCCACACTAAACTTTCAGTCCCGTCAAGTTGATCAATTTTACACCTGCCTGAAAATTGCATGGCCCTGACCTAAATAACCCTCAACCTGTGACCTGTTTCTTCTTCTTGGGACCATGATTGGCCTGAATCGTGATTTGGCGTATGTCAGCTCACACTGTTAGCATGTTTCCAGTTGTTGCTGTTTTTTTTGCAGTTGCTGGCATTCAGACATATGTAATGATGCTGGTCCCATGCATTCTGGTGGGTGTTAAAGGTAGTGTGCCACCTTTGAAAGATTTCCCATTTTATTTTTCCTAGGATAAGAAGCTTCTGTTTTTACCTAATATCGCAAAGAAAATCAAAAATGGGCCTGGAATAGTGCCTTTTTCGCCTAAAAGTTTATCGGTTTTTCGATATGTATAACAACTGTAGTGGGCTGAGCTGCAAACAGGCGTCGGCAACAATCGCGAATGCGGCGCACATGTGACAATAAGCAAAGGTCATTATAGAGTTACAACGTACGGGAATGAGTTATCAGCTGTCTAATCGTAGACAATACAATGTCGAGCCTTAAACTGTAAGCCTGTATTGGTATTGTTTCTTTTATTTGGCTGTCGAACATTATTTATGGTTTGAAATATGATTTTATGTAAAATAATTGATATGAAAAAGCCGTCTCTTAGTTATGACCCCATTTCACCACACGCAAGTGGCAGAAATGACAATGATCAGCTGACGCATTTTTCTTGGCCGAAGTCAGAGCGCGCGGCCCGACGCACCACCACCGCACCACAAAGTATGAGCAGAAGCCGCGCCCAAAGCCAGGGCCCCGGTAACGTGAGGTAGCCGAGTCGGGGCAGCGTGCGCTGACCCAAGCCGGGGCCGCAGCTTTGGGCGCGGTCTACCGCATCCCCGCGGGCAGCCCCGGGCTATCACATGACACCGGGAGGACGCGCGGCCCCGGCTTGGGTCAGCGCACGCTGCCCCGACTCGGCTACCTCACGTTACCGGGGCCCTGGCTTTGGGCGCGGTCTACCGCACCACTTAACAGGCGTGTTCGAAACCGCAGGAGATGATGATGAACGGGTTTATCGAAACTTGATTGGATGAGCATATCGGTAATAGCGATTTCAGTGTGTGCATTTATTGTTCATAGTGGTGTGAAATGTGGTTGGGGTACGACCGACAACCCGTCGGGGCGAATTTCGCACTGGGGTACTCAAAATTTGAAGAATTTATGACGTTTCCATGAGTTTTGAAGGTATGGATAAGTTCTAAAAATCCGGTTCTCCTTATCTGGGCCATTAACTCCATACGGTCCAGGAAAGCTGGCACACTACCTTTAATCATGTGAAGATTAGGTCAAGATCATTAACTGATCATTGACCTTTGGTGACCTTGGCTCACTTTTTCGAGTTGCATGTGACTAGGGCAGTGTTTGGAGCTGATTTTGAAAACAGCACCCATTTCAACAATTACAAAGTAGTTTTGGTGCCTTCATAACATGTTACAAGGTCATCAGTGGTGGTTGACACCTACTATGGATAGCTGGCAGGATGCCTCACCTGACCTGACCCTACATGGCCTAAATGCATGAAGACATCTTTTGTAATGAAAACTAACATGAAATTTGTGATGAGCGCTCCAAAAAGTCCTTTTACAACCTTTTTTTATGAAGTTCTACCAGGTTCCAATTTTCCACACTTTTGGGTCATTGACCTGACCTGGAAGGTCAACCAATGACCTTACCATTGGGTACCATCGGCTTCCTCTCATCCCGGGCAATACGCTCGTTTTTTCGCGAAGATCCAGGTCGATCAGGGGCTGAATAGCAAGCTGGGGATCCAATGCCCCCCCCCCCCCATACGACGCGGGCAAAACTCCAATACGGGCGAGGGTTAATCCTGTCAGTCTTTCTGTGCTTCACCCATGATGGTTTTCCCTTGTTTCAGCTCTGTTGGCCACGCTGTGCCTGCACCTGCTCATGCTGGACTACTACAGTCTGCTGGGAGTGTGGTACACACCAGCGATTCTGCGCCGCATCACGGTGTTTGCCGTGGTGATCCTGGTGGCAGCGCTGGGTCTGATGGCGTGGTACCTGACAGAGGTCGTCACCAAACACCAAGGTCAGACCCGCCACCTGGCACACACTCGCCGGTTGGTGGACACTCGCCGGCTGGCGCACACCTGCCAGTTGGCATACCAAAGAGCAGCTGGACCTTGTGTTATTCATTTGGTTCTTTGCTCAAGGTCAAGTTTTGGTTTGTATCCAAACCAATCAGAATTTCGAATGTTTTTTTGTTGTTAATGTTTTTGCACTCATCTGTTGCTCAATTACGAAATGGAAGGTACACAGCAGACATAAGTCACAGAGCTTTCAGCTACTCAATAGCAATTAGAGTTAAATAGCCAGCCAGAAGTTCTGGTTACTGGTAACACCGCAGAAATAAGGATTGAATGGCCGGACCACTTATACCGCACTGCTTTCCGAAATCCGACGAGCTTTGAACGGTACTACAGTTGCTGCCAATGTCAAAAGGCCGTCCCCGGTCCCGAGCGAATAGTGAGCCCCAAAACATAAACAGATCGAGCTTAGCTCTAACCGCTGGCTGCTCAGGAGACGGGGGGCTATAGGAGCGGGCAACTGATATTATTCCAGTCGATATTTACGAGTGATCAACTTTCATTTTACATGTATTGGAGTGATTATGTCTGGGCGCAAAATGACCACCGCAGTCGACGCGCCCGTAAACCCTAATGAACGAAGGAGTGATTATGTCGCATTGTGGCCGCCGTCCGCTACTGCGGCTGACCTGCGTCCGTTCCGGCCGGCAGGTTTCTACCCGATCGAGACCAGTAACCCGGTGCGCGCCGTCATGAGTCTGATGAACGTCAAGTGGTCGGTGACGCTGCTGGCGCTGTCTGTGTCGCTGCGGCGCCGGCTGCTCGGCGGCCCGGCCGCCTACCGCAGCCTGTCGGGTGAGCCGCCCCGCCCCGCCCCCGCCGGTTTTTACCCCGCCCGCCGCTTGGTTAGCGGTCTGTCCCTGCAATGTGTGTCAGTTTGTGGAGCTGTGCCGGTATCGGGCTGTTTTTGCTGCCGGTGGTGACGGCTGGTGTCTGTGACCTCCAGAGGCGTCTCCGCTCGACCCGGAGGACTCCTGATCTCCCGGAGCTGCAGCCGGTGACCGCCTCCGCCGTCGCCCGGTGCCGCGGGTCGCAGAGCGCTGCCGCCCGGTCCGGAGACCGACCGTGATAACCAGCCTGGTGATATCCACTCGTACCGGGGTGCATGTATCCAATACGTGGGGTCAGTGCTGGCCGCCCGGTGTCCCGCTGGGGTCGTTCGCCGCCCCAGCCGATCATCAGACCACTGGTGCCACAGAGGTATTGGTAGAACTAGACTATACAATGGTTATGGATTAGCGGGATACGGCACAGGCCGGAATATATAAGACATAGGTGATATTTTATAAATAAATTTAGCTCGAATGCTTGAATGCACGGATTGACAGCGGCGGAGCCCACGTGAAGCAGAGCTTGTGGTCTACGGGCCGTATCGTACGGTCGGGCCAGTCCGGGTGACCGGGAGAGTTTAGGGTACCTTGTTTGCCCGTCAAAGTCGGGCATAGTCCGGATGTTTAATGCAATGTTAGTAAATAGGGTTTTAGACGAAGGATGTTGACTGTTGATGCGTAGCCGCAGTGCCGGTCTGTGTACTCAGTGTATATTATGCCCCTGTGAACTGCCAACTGAATAGCGCCAGGCCTTGTCCATGTCTAACCTAGCTGGTTCCCTTACTCAGGCTGTGCCGGTCCGATTGTCTCTGTAGTCACAGTTACGATTACCACATTGAGCAGCGAGGCTAGACATTTTCTGACTGCACTGATGCATACTATGCGCCCGTCAATCCATTATTCTGCTTAGATGCACATGTGGACGTGTGTACGCGCCTAGCTATTGTTAAATCGAAGTCCCGTTCTGGGGTTATTTCAGCAGTGCGCTATTATAACTGAGACGGCGAATCCCAGTAACTTGGTTGTCCTCATGCGCACTGCTATTATGCCAATGATATGACTCAGCCACCCGGAGAAGACGGAGCCGTGAGATATGCTATGCGTCTAAGACGTGTTTCTATTTTTGCTAAATATACCGTATGCATAGACTGTTCTGTTGTCTTTGTTGGGGTCTTAACGCCCGTCCACAGCGGGCTCATACGTCCACGCTCAGCTGTTTGTCTCACTGGGGTTGTCTCAGCGCGTTTGTCTCACTGGGGAGTGGAGCGGTGCCCGCCGCAGTGTCTGAGTCACCCCGTCCGGGCACGGTCTCCATGTCCGTCATCAGTGACAGGCGCCGCGGGCCGCGTCGTGTCCGTGTATTTGGCTCTGTGCGGTACAGGATAGGGCGCGCGCGGCCCCAGTGGCGCGCGCACACAGCCGGACGGCGGCCGCCGGCGCCCGGTCGGCCGGGCCGGCGCGCGGCGGCCGCGCGCCGAGGAATGGGTCGGTGCGACCCCAGCTCGCTCACAGAATAGTCCCGCCACCGCGGCGCGGCGGCCCATCACTCGTCGTACAGAGGCGTCTCGCCGGCCCGCGGCGTCCGTCTCGCGCGGGATGACGGTGTCAAGGGCCTGAAACGGGGACACGGGGTTAGCGCAGCCCGTCGGGACGGGGTCAGTACACACTAACGAGACGGTACGGGGGTCGGCACACTGCGGGGAGGCGGGTCATTATTGGAGTTGTGCGGAATCACTGATTGGATGCTGGACAGGGATCGGCACAGGGGGCGCAGGACGGGCCGGGGTCAGAACACACCGCTTGGGCCGGGATCAGTACACCATGAGAGCCCGCAGCACCTTAGCGACTGGGTACAGCTATACAGCTCTGCCGGATGACCAAGTCAGACCCCTACTGTAAATTACACGCTACTCACTACCAGACTTGTCGCCGGACGCCGAGCAAACTCAACGTGGGCCTACCATCGCAGTCTGAGCGAGCCCGCTGACAGCGGCGGCCGCCCCGCCGGGTGATGAACCCCGCCCGCCCCGACTCCAGACTGCTCTACTCACGGCGGCATATTGTCTCGCGGAGTGCGGCTGCCGTCCCCCCGCGGTGTGAAGCGTCCGTCTGTGCGCGGTGTGCTCCGCCCGTCGGCCCTCGGGGTGCCGCGGCCGTCCATCCGCGGCGTGCTCCGCCCGTCGGTCCGCGGCGTGCTGCGCCCGTCGTGTCGGGGCGTGCTGCGGCCGTCGTGTCGGGGCGTGCTGCGGCCGGGGTCGGCGCGGGGCGTGCCGCCGGGGTCGGCGCGCGGCGTGCCGCGGTTGCCGCGCGCCTTGGCCCAGGCCTCGGCGGCCGACGCCCAGTCGTGCGACTCGTGGCTGACGGACGGCGCCGGGTGCGAGTGACGCCCGCCGGAGGTGGTGGGCCGGCCGGCCGGCGGGTAGCGCGGCGACGCGTGCGGCCCGCCGCCGCCGCCGCCGCCGGGCGTGCGCCCGTGGTGGCCGCTGCTGCCGCCGCCCTGGTACCGCGGCGTGGTGGCGTACGGCGTCATGAACGGGGTCTGGCCGGACGGCGTGTAGGGCTGGAAAAAGAACCGGCGCGGGCGACCGTCAGTGAGGGGCTGGTGGAAGAGCTGGGCTTGTTCAGCGCGGGTCGGCGGGCCTTATAACCAGGGATGCGGAGCCGTGGAAATTTCAGACGGCTCCGGCTCCGGCTCCGGCTCCGGAGAAAAAATCGGCTCCGGCTCCGGCTCCGGCTCCGGGTGAAATGTTATGGCGGCTCCGGCTCCGGCTCCGGCTCCGAGTAAAATGGTCCGGCTCCGGCGGCTCCGGCTCCGGCTCCGACTCCGACTCCGACTCAGTACATCCCCTATGCAATCAATTAAATACGGGTGGAAGAAAAATTGGATTGGTTATACGCGTTACTCTTTGCCATGACCGGCTCATGACCGCGTCCCCGCGCAAACGCACCTCGGAGAGAACTGGCAGAACAAAGGACTAGGAAGCGATGGCATTGGAAACGCAGTCGCCGCGAATCGGAGTTCACTGAACCATCGTAAGCTGACACCCGTCTCGGCAGAGACGGTGCTGGGAGTCGCAGTCCACTGCACTGGCTTGAAAACAATGGCCGTCACCTGATGACCGGTCCTCATGTTCTGGGGATGCAGTAGACGTGGGGGGGGGGGAGGAGCAGACAGGAAGTTGATTGCGTACTGTGGGATACTGGGGATATTCGGCTTTTTTCATTCACTTGATTGCCCATGACGTAAGTACATACCATATGTTTCACTGCCTTGTACTGTCAAACCGAACTAGGTCAATTACTTTTTTTTCCTCTTCAAAAAATAAAAAGGAGCCGGAGTCGCCCCCTTTTTTGGCGGCTCCGGCTCCGGCTCCGGCTCCGGTCTATATTGTTTCACGGCTCCGGCTCCGGCTCCGGCTCCGGGCAAAATATGCCGGCTCCGGCGGCTCCGGCTCCGACTCCGGCTCCGGCTCCGCATCCCTGCTTATAACCAATCACACACACATCGTCACACACGTCCGATCCCGAGTCAGAGGCCGGCCGACCGGCCAGCACAGTCGGGCCGGGGTCGTATCGGCTCCCTCACTGACCGTGTTGGGGTAGTGCCCGGGCGTCTGGTGCGCGGCCGCCTGCGACAGGTTGTGCAGCACATTGCCGGAGAGATTCTGCGCCACGCGCGCCACCGCCTCTGGGTTCACATCTGCCGGGGGGGGGGAGGGGGGTCAGAGACGTGCGGCGCCGCACCGAGCCGGCGGACAGTTATATGGACACATCGACCGGCGGCAGGCTTTAGAGAGCCGAATAAGGATAATACAACAGAAATATTTAGCGATGCAGAGTGATGCGCACTTCCCCGAGAATAGGCCTCAGCGTCCCTGCAGGTCCCCCACGGTACCCCCGTCCAGCCCGGACTCTGGCCGGCGCTCACTGTTGATGTTGAAGCCGGCGCCGGGGGTGAACGGTGTCCGGGCGGCGGCGGCGCGCGGCGTCTGCGGCACCGGGTCCCGGAAGTGGTCCTTGAACCACCGGAACAGCGACGGGATCGTCTCGAACACCTGCTGCCGGAACCGGAACCCCTCCGGCGTCAGCGTGATGAACTCGTGCCGCGGCCGAGTGCGCGGCAGGTACGACAGCATGAACTTGCCCGGGTGCTCCTGGGGGCGGAGAAGAGAGGGAGGGGGTCAGCTCGGCGCCGGACGGCCGACCGCAGCAGCAGGCGGCGGGACGTCAGCGGACAGACGAGACGACCGAGACAGACCGGCTGAACGTCCTGGAGCGCGCTCAGTGTGTGTCCTTAGTACGTGGGCGTCAAGCACAATGTCAACTAACATTGCCACGCGCGCCTATATATTAAACATAGGAATCTATTGCATGGGCCTTAGATCCGGGAATAATCATTTAACTAATTATACCTCGCTAAATACAGTGACAGCCATTGAGTTGAGTGACTTACCTTGGACACGGAGACGATGTAGGGTATTTTCTGCGGGTTTTTCCGTTTCTCCTCGCGGAGGATTTCGTCGGCGCGCGGCCGTTTGCCGCCGTCCGTGTCCCGGTAGTACTTGTAGTTGAGCAGGTCGCGCGCGTGCGCAGAGATGGGACTGACGTGGCGGGCCAGGATCTCGTCCAGGTCCTCGAACTCCTCATTGTCTGTCGGAGCGGCAGACATGTCCGGGGGTGTGAGGCGCCAACTAGGGGAGAGTAGGGCACATTCGTGCCAAAAAAAATAGATAAATCCATATATATGTTCCTTGGTTAGAGCAACGACAAAATTGTTATTTGTAGTATGGAAGGGAACTATTGCAGATATTTTTCCTCTTAAAGTTATCCTTTAAAATTATTGCTTCTATTGGAAAAAAAGGACTTTTAATAACTCTGAACGTTTGCACGAAACTGCCCCACCTATGGAGCACTTTCGTGCAAGGGGTGGGGCACTTCCGTGCACCCTGCAAAGTTCGAGCAATTACCGGGCATTACCAGAACTTTACCAAAAGAAATTGGCAGGGGGTTATTTCACTTGATTTCTTTCGACAAGAATGCATTGCACAACATATGTAGAGAGAATGGGCTGGTCAACAAGAATGCGCCAACTGCCGGCCTCCGTGACCTCGCCAAGGTCGCGTGAAATACTTGTCACGAGGTCGCAAGCAGCCGAGACTGAGTCAGCCGAGCGTCATTAGTGAAACATACTAAAGATAAAGTCATAAATCGCAAAAACGAAAAAAAACATGCACGAATGTGCCCGTAGGCAGTGCATACACGAACCTGCCCCACAACGTTATTTGTAATATACAAATAACTGTATTTCAAAATTTCTTGTTGAAAAATGACACTTTTTCAACAAACAAGTTTGCAGCGGTTCCGTGAATAGTGAGCCTCTTCGCCCCCAATTTTGAAAAGCCGAACCACATTCCCGAGTCACGATTATGAAAATGGATGACATGAGAAAAGTTTGGAAAGCGCACGAATATTACAAATTTGCGTTTTTATCAAGCATGACAGCAGGTACAGTGTTTTCTTCTACACTGTGAACGAAGGGCGGCAATGCTAGACATATTTCCATAATTTACCTGGAGCTCGTGCAGTCACTCGTGTTCCCATAAACTGCTGAAAACGAATGTGCCCCATGCACGAATGTGCCCCACTCTCCCCTACAGCGATCACACCAGCGATGAGACGTCGACAACGATCGACGGTGACCACGCGTCGGACTGAAGGAGCACAGGCCGGACCGACACGTCGGGCAAAAGGGTAACGGCGGACCGCCCCGTCGGGGCGAGACCGAGATGCCCGTCGTCTGCCCCTCAGTGATCAGTAGCGTCTGACTCGGGCTGGAGATAGAACAAACTGGACGGCAGCCTGACCCGGGTTGAAGCGAGGACAGGGTCTGATCCAGACTGGAGAGAGGGCAGAGTCTGTCCCAGGCTAACAGAGGAGGATATAGCACTCATCGATAAGCAGCGTCTGACCGAGGCTGAAGGGAGGGCCTGTATGAGCCAGGCTCAAAGGACAGAGTCTGACCCGGTCTGAAGAGAAACTAATGTACAGTACCCACGTCACTCACCAATGAGCAGCGTCTGGCCGAGGCTGAAGGCGTTCTCCTTGCCGACCTCTTTGACAGCAATGTGCTGTATCACGTCGTCGGCCACCTTCCAGGAGACGGTCAGCTGGTCGGAGCCCTGGCGCGCACACAGGGGGCGAGGGTCAGCCACACACAGGGTACGGTCAGCCCACACACAGGACACGGTCAGCCGACACAGGACATATTGGCAACAGCGTAACGGCGAGGGAGCAGACACCATTTCCGACACAGCTCTCCCCGGGCAGCCGACCAGTCCCGCTGACAGCAGTGAGGTACGGGTTATACAACAGTCGCGGCACAGTGCACTGACGGCGGATTATAACTGGCCACCGGCCGGCCGGCCGGCCGGCACACCCACCTGGCTGCTGGGCCGGATGATGGCCTCGCCCTGGTCCATGGTGGCCAGCAGCCGGCGCGCCTCCTTGAAGTCCACGTTGTGAAAGGCCGGATGCACGATGACGCGCTTCAGGTAGGTCTGCGCCTCCTTCTGCTTCCGAGCAGTCTCGGCGGCGTCCCGGTCGGCCGTCTCGGAGTCGGCGTCGTAGAACGGGTCCCGGGCCGGCCTGGGGAGCACAGAGGGATCACACACCGGTCTGGGGAGCACAGAGGGATCACACACCGGCCTGGGGAGCACAGAGGGATCACACACCGGCCTGGGGAGCACAGAGGGGTGTCACTGGTCGGCTGGTACCACCAAAGCCAGAGTAAATGGGTATACCAAGCATCCAAAGCATAATTTTGCTCTTTCAATCGAGCATGAAAATTGTCACACCTTGTCATTCCGTACGCGAAAATCAGATGTAGTGAGCGCTTTTCAGACTGTATCTCCTCGCAAAGTTGCAGTGCTCAGTGTGCCTCAATGGCCTGAATAAAGTATTAACCCTCGCATGTGTAGGGGGGTCGGATGGACCCCCCCCCCCCCCCAATGGTTTTTCGCAAATAACTCGCGCAAAAAGGGGCCGATCGCGACGAAACTTTCAGTACCCTCGAGTTGATCAATTTTACACCTACTCTGAAAATTTCATGACCCTGACCCAAGTGAGCTTTGACCCGTGACCTGTTCCTCGAGGCCAAGTTTGGCCGGAATCGCGATTCGGCGTGTCAGCTCGCATTAGCCGCGCGTTTGCAAGCTTTTCGTGGTTTCAAACGTTCAAATATGTGATTCAATTTTTCTCCCATGCATTAGGGTGATGTCAAGGTCACCTGAAGGTCAGCTCTGGTCATTGACCTTTGGTGACCTCGGTTCACTTTTTCGAGTTTTACATGTTTCTATGCTAGTTTTTGGAGCTGAATTCGAATTAAGAAACCATTTGAACATTTACGAAGTAGTCTTGGTGCCTTCGGAACATGTTACGAAGCTGTCAGAGGCGGTTGACACCTACTACGAATACCCGTCACGCTGGTTGACCTGACCTGACCTGACCCGACCTGGTCTAAATGCTTAAAGACATCATCTGTGATCAAAACTAACACGATATTCGTGATCAGCACCCCGAAAACCCCCATAGCAGCAACACTTAACGACTTTCTAACAGGTCCCGATTTTCGCGACATTTGGGTCATTGACCTGACCTGGAAGGTCAACCAATGACCTAGGATCTTAAAATTGGGTATCATCGGCTTCGTCTCGTGACGGGCAACACGCTCGTTTTTTTCCGCGAAGCTCTAGCTCGATCAGGGGCCAAACGGCAAGACGGGGGGTCCAACGCCCCCCCCCCCCCTACACGTTAGAAGCTGGCAAACGCCGCACACATGCGAGGGTTAAGCTTGTTAAGTCAAAAATCCCTGTCATGGCCTACCAGATACCCATTAGGATACGAGATACGATCGTCCTCCCAGGTCAGCAAATAGCGATATAACAGCAGCGGCCAGTCGAATTCAATCCCGAACAAGTCGGTGTAAAGGGTGCGTGTACTAATCCAATCAGTGTCAAACTATTTCGCAGCAATTATGCTAACGAACATTGTATGATTTCAAGCTTTTATAAGATAAACGAGTGGTTGCTGAAAAACGTACATTAAACTAGCGAACATTATCTAGTCCGGCATGGCCGCTATTGACTCACCTCCACTCTTTGTTTTTGTCGGCCAGATCGGACGACTTGCAGGTGCACTCCACCCAGAACTTTTCGATGTCGATCTTCACCACGCGGCAGAAGATGGTCTGGCCCGGCTGGACGCGCTCCTCCGGGTTGGTGACACGATTGTCCGAGAGGTTCTTCATCTGAATGAAGCCCGAGCAGCCGTTATCCATTCGGATCCGCACGCCGATGGCCTTGCCCGGACAGGCGTTGGTGTCGAAGTGTGACCACACCTCGGAGAGCTCGGGGAAGTCCTTTTTCAGGCAGAACGGACACTGCCAGAGGCCCGTCTCCGTGTCGCGCACCGGGTTGTCCTGGTTCATCTGCTCCGGTTTCGGTTTGCGCCGCGTGAAGCCGGTGACGGTGCAGAGCAGCAGCTTGCCCTTGTAGAGCGTGTCGGGGGTCTCCTTGGTCAGCATGTTGAACAGCTCCAGCGGGTCGGGCGACACGTACGGCGTGCGCAGGTCCTTGTAGCGGTCGTTGAGCTCGGCGCGGATGTCATAGAGCGTGATGGAGCGGTTGCCGAGCCCCTGTCGCTCTAGCTCCTCGGCGAAGGCGTCCAGGTCGAGGTCGCGCAGCCGTGCCGGGTTCTCGATGATCTCCTCCAGCGCGCCGGCCGGGTTGCCGTCCACGTCATCGTACTCGAGCGCGTCGACGGCCATCTTGCGCGCCCAGTCGTACGTCTCCAGGTGGATGCGCGTGCCGTCCAGCAGGTCCGTGTAGCGGTCCGTGATGTCGCCCAGCGCGTTGGTGTTGATCTTGATGAATCCGGCGCAGTTGGTGAGGATGCGCGGCCCCAGGTGGCAGTCTGTGACCAGCTCGGTGCGGTTGGCCAGCCGCTGACTGGTCTGCTTCAGCGTCTTGAGCAGCGCGGTGGCCTTTCTGACGCCGAGTCCGCATACGAACTGGACGAGCGGCGCGGCGTACGCGCTGGCCAGCGCCCGGTTCACGTCCACGCCCACCTCGTTGGTGCGGTTGATGAACTCGGTCTGCACGGTGTCGAGCAGGGTGTCACGCGGCAGCTGCTCCTGCAGCGGGTGGTAGCGCAGGCACAGGATCTCCTCCTCGGCGTTACACAGCTGCGCGAACTCCAGCAGCGGGTCCTGCATGCGGCGCGCCAGCGACACGGCCTGGCGCAGCAGCTCCGGGTAGTCGCGGAAGTCGGAGACGCCCTTGGTGCTGTTGGCGTACACCTTGGCCAGCTCGTTGTCGAGAATCTCCACCTGGATGGCCGGGAACTGGCTCTCGGTCACCAGCGTCTGCACCAGTGCGCGCAGCTCCTCAGAGATCTGGATCGCCTCGCGCGACTCGCCGCCGATCACGATCACGTGCGGCTTCTTGGTCTCGATGAGCTCGCGCAGCGCCTCCATGTCGCGCTGTTTGCCCAGCCGGTCGGCCTCGCGCCAGGCGTCCTTCCTCTTCTGCAGGTGCTGCAGCTTGAGGTAGTCGCTGACCTCGCCGTCGGCGGTCACCAGGCAGGCGTAGTCGGCCATGTTGGGGTCAGTCTCGTAGGCCACGGCCAGCACGCGCACGCCGTCCGAGCTGTCCCACTCGTCATCGTCGTCGTCGTCCTGCTGGAAGGGCGCCGAGTAGGGCGCGATCGACAGCCAGTTGAAGAGCCGCCGGCGCACGTTGCGCTGCACAAAGTCGCGCGCCTCCTGCAGCAGCCGGGCGCGCAGCTCCTTGCGCAGCGCCGGAAAGATCATCTGAGTGAGCGCCAGCTCGACGCACTCGCCGCGCAGCTCGTTCCAGCTCTGCACCGTCTTGCTGAACTCGTCCTGTCGGTGGAGAGGGCGGGGAGCGGAGCTCAGTCGGACGACGTGGGAGATGGAACATGGGAAGTGTTCTCATCAGACATGACAGCACCAAGAGGGGCCCTTATCTCCATACGCACATCACACTCTACACATATCTATGTTGAGCAGCTGGACCGATCGGCTGGATCGACCTAACCGGCGACACTGACCCTGGCGTAGAGGCCCTTGGCCTCATCCACGTAGTTTTGTCCCGAGTAGTTGGTGATCTTGGAGCCGATGTCGAGCTCCAGCAGCTTCTCCTCCTCGGCCATGTACAGCTTGAGGAACTGCTCGTCGCGCAGCGAACTGACCGGCTTGTCTTTGAGGTACTTCATCCTGCCGGCGGGTCGGCGGACATCAGGCACCGCCGTACCACCGCCACACAGTCAGATCAGCAGACAGGACAACGCGACACGCCGCCCGCGGGGACGGACACCACGGGCCGAGAGACAGCTGGGGACGGTCATTAGCAGAACGACCAGCCAAAGGAGAAGCCTATCAACAACGTAGAAGTCAGTTATAATGGATTGGTAAGACATATTTACAGTATACACCTCACGGAGTGAATTTACACCTGAGGACCTCAAGGGAACGACATCCCACCGGGCAGAACTTAGGGTGAATTACAGGCTCAAGCCAGAAATACCCTCCCTCAGCGTCACCTCATACTAGTCACAGACAAACAGGACGAACAGTTTCTGCCGCACCCTTCCTCACCACTCAGCCCATCTGTCAGCCCCACTGACCAGTGACCGCTGCCGCACAGCCCAGCGCGGTCCAACTCACGTGAACGCGTAGTGGCTCTCGTCGATCTCTTTGATGCCCTTTTTGGTGGGCTTGCAGGAGATGCGCGCCGAGCTGTAGAACATCTCGCGCGCGCACTTGCGCACCAGCGGCTCGCAGGATAGCTGGCTGGCCACCATGAACTTGGCGGCCTTCAGCACGTCCTGCGGCGTGGCCAGGTTTCTGCCGGCGGGGAGGGGGGGGGGGGGGCGTCACGTCCTGCGGCGTGGCCAGGTTTTTGCCGGCGGGGAGGGGGGGGGGGGGGCGTCATGTCCTGCGGCGTGGCCAGGTTTTTGCCGGCGGGGAGGGGGGGGGGCGTCACGTCCTGCGGCGTGGCCGGGTTTCTGCCGGAGGAGAGGGGGCGGCCAGACTCGCCACAGCAGCGGCTCGGGGCGCGGCGCCCACAGTGCAGCGCCGCCACACACCGGGGCCGCGAGCCGAGTCGGTAACGAGCACAGCAACTCCCCGTCGGTATAGCTTTCAACCACAGGGGAGCACTGCCGCTTCAACCCTATTGGCCGTAGTGTCTAACGGTGGCGGCCATATTGCGCAGACCAGGAACCGGCTGCCGCCTGTGTTGAGGAATAGTGAATTCGGGACCTTGATTTATGTTTGCGGCCGCCGTATCTGGTACGTTCAAGTTACGTAGATACGGAACCCAGCATCTTACGCAGAATTGAGTGGGGAAAACGATCGTATCTTCAGAATTCCTCAAATTCACTCGCCCGACCTACATTTCCCCGGCCGAGAGGGTTGATTGAACCCACCTCGCTAATGCGCCGCTAATTTAACTAGAATTTAGCGGTTAAGTGGTCGAATGAGGCAAAGAACAATGCAGAGTGACTGGTACGAATCCGCTTTAAAGGTCTCAGGTCAACCGGTGACCTCTGAGGTCAGGTCATGTGACCTAAGGCACGGGTTCGGTTTTTGGTAAATAACTTCGCCAAAAATGGCTGTAGAGCCGCGATTTTGGCATCATTGTGTTCAGCTAGCTCAGGCGCATCGAGTGATATACTTTTTGTTTCGGTTAGGTCAATTTAAGGCATTGACCTCGTGACAAGGTCAGGTCAGAGCTCTCAGGTCACGAAGCTGGTCGAGTAAGGTCATGTTGCCTATCATTCGATTTGGCAGGTCTTTCTGAGTCCATTTGTGGCTTTCACATATCGCTAGCTCAATTTGATCGGGAGTTATTGAAGAAAAATTGTGGCCCTTGTGACGTCACAAATGACGTCACGCAAGGGCAACAATGTAAATGTGAAGCATCGAACCTTGCAAGGAGTGCATGAAATCATAATTCTATATGCTTGAGATAGTTTCAGATTATTCCCGGCGCCAAAATAGCAATTTTCATATTTCCCCATTGACTTATAAGGGTTTAACGTGTTAGTTCCTTGTATCTGAGGATTTTTTTTAGGATTTCATCTTGTTCTCCACTCAATTCTGCGTCAGATGCCGGGTTCTGTGTCGACATAGCTTGAACGTAACGGATGCAGCGGCCGCAAACGTAAATCGAGGTCCCGAATTCCCTATTCCCCAACACAGGCGGCGGCCGCTTCCTGGTCTGCGCAACACGGCGGCACCGTTGGACACCATCTGGCGGCCGATGCGCCTTCCACATTATAGAGTTCAGTGCTTTCAACACTGAGTTACAACACAGCACAGCACCTCTCCGTCGGTGCAGCTCTCCCGTCAGTCATGGCCGGCGGAGAGTCCCGCGGCGGACACGGCGGACAGTCCCGCGGCGGACACTGACCCACGGCGGACAGTGCGCGGCACCCACCCGGTGATGTACTGCTGCGCCATCTCCTCCGGGTCGCTGGGCAGCTGCTCCACCTCGTGACGCTGGTACGTGTCGCGCAGGTTCTCGGCAAACTGCTCCGGGCTGAGGCCGAACCGGCGCGACAGCGGCTCTGGCGGCGGCCGACGCGGCAGTCAGTGCGATACGGCATTCAGTACTCAGGAGGTACAGCAGTCAGTACACAGGAGATACTGCAGTCAGTACACACCGAACCGGACACTGGTATGTTGCATGTCAGTACGCCCTAGAAAGTAATGGTGGAGTCAGGTCGCACCTCACCCTATCAGTATCAGTCCAGGCGATCCTGGTACAACCGGACACTTTGCCGCGGCCTGCACAGTGCACATACCGGTCGGTGTCGGTACACGCCGGTGACTGGTGTAGCAGTCCGCGTATACCAGCCAGGGGGACACGTCAAACTCAAAACTCGACGCCGCCCCCGGGTGGGCTCGAACCACCAACCTTTCGGTTAACAGCCGAACGCGCTAACCAATTGCGCCACGGAGGCCGCCGGCCCATCCCGGACTCTTTTCTCGTCAGAAACTTCTCATCTCGTTACCATCTCCATCCTCCACTGTGGCTATTACCTCCCGTTGCACCCCGTTCGGTCCCACCGAGGCCGGGCGCCACTCACCGAGTCCGTTGCGCTTGCAGAGCTCGTAGGCGCCGGTGCGGACGGCGTATTTGATGAACTCGCGGTCCTCGTCCTCGTCTTCGGCCTTCTGCTCGGCCTCGTCGTCGGTGACCTCGACCTCGACCTCGACCTCCTCGCCGTCCTCATTGGTCTCGGTCCGCGTCTCCTGCAGGGGGGGGGGGGGCGGTCAGCGCCTCCTGTCCAGGGGGTGATCTGCTGCCGCACGGTCGGAGTGGCACGGCCAGCTGGTGCCCCGCTCACAGCGGCTGTCATCCATAGGCTTCGAGATACATACTCTAACAATTACAGTCCGCTGTAGTGAATAAAAACAATGTGCACATTCATAAGCTAAGCATTAATACTAAATACGTCTGGCCGCACCTCAAGAACGCAACAATTACGAGAGCCTTAATTAGTACCCACTACCCTGCCCTAATCCCGACCGGGCCATTCTCCCCCTTTGCCCACCGGCTGCCCGCACGCCGGTCAGGGCGGCCGTGACTCACGATCCGTTTCTTTTTGGGCTGCAGTTTTTTCTCCTCCTTCTTTTTGTTGATTTCCTGTTCGTGCATGGCGGCCACGTCCTGTCCATAGTAGAGCCGGAAGTGCAGGTAGATGTCTTGCAGCTCCTCGGGAGAGTCGGCCAGCCTCACCCTGACGGCGCAGAGGGGGGGGGGGGGGACACGACACGGCGGGTCAGAGACACAGACACACTGACACACCGATACAGACACACCCTGACGGCGCAGATGGGATGAGAGGAGACACAGCGGGTCAGAGACGCACAGGCACAACGACACAGACACACTGACACGGACACATAGGCACAGAGAGAAACACCTACATGGACACACAGACACACCCTGCCGGCCGGCGCGGGAAGGGGAGACACGACACCAATCAGCTTCCCAAGTCGACCCACCTGTCGATGTCCTCGTTGGAGAGGACGCGCATGCCCTCCGGCAGCGCCGCGTTGATGTCCTTCATCACGATGTCGCCCTGGAAGGTCTGCATCTTCTCCAGCAGGCGGACCATGTTCTGCTTCCGCTTCTGCAGCTGGCACCACTGCAGCGAGGCGCGGGACGGGGTCAGTGATCACGGAACAGCTCATACCACACCTACCCGGCCTACTCGTGTCGTATTGCTCACATTAATCGACATAATTACACTGATGACATCGCTGTACTCGCAAAACGTATTTTGCAAGTAAGCGGTATTCATCATTTGTTACTACCTGACATTATGCACGAATTGGCAGCCCCGGTACCCTTCAACCAAAAACGCCACAAGTCCATCTGCAGTCGTGCCGATATTTCTAGGAGAGCGGCGCGCCACCCTGAACACTCACCTTCTCGTCCCATTTGTAGATGCACCAGAGGGCGTTGGAGGTGAGCTCTGGCACGATGTACTCCTTCTTGTAGGAGGCGATGAAGGGCACCTCCAGCTGCTTGTTGCGCATAAAGTCCAGCGCCGACCTGATCTTGCTGACGGACGAGCTGCTCTGGCGGATCTTGTCCCGGAACTCGTCCTCCTCATCCTTCGACTGGCGGCACGCACAAAGTACGGTGTCACATGTACACACCGTCGGCACACAGACTACACACTGTAGTGTACACACGGCGTCACATGTATGTTCACACCGTCGGCACACGCAGTGTACGCACGGCGTCACATATACACACCGTCGGCCGGTACACCGACTACCTACACACTGCACACAAGGACACTAGGCTGCTGTAACTCGTACTTCCACTGGCGGCAGACACACACGCCCAAGGAAAACTCGACCCACAACAACGGCCAACATAGCGTAAACCCGGGTGGCTACCAACGGGAAGCGCACAGCATCGACATGGCGCGAATTGAGGTTGAGGGGCGGGAGGACCCGGCTCCGGTCCCGGTGTCCGTCCGGTCGGGTCCCGGGGTGTCCGTCCGGTCCCGGTGGGCGGGTGTCCGTCCGGTCCCGGTGGGCGGGTGTCCACGCGGTCCGGTGGGCGGGTGTCCCTCCGGTCCCGGTGGGCGGGTGTCCCTCCGGTCCCGGTGGGCGCACTCATCTCACCTGGGTGCTGATGGGCTTGTCGTTGAAGGCGTGTTTGAAGATCCACTCGGCTTCCTGGTCCAGCTCGGGATCCTCGGAGCCAAGCTCGGTGGCGGTGACGGGCACGGCGCGCAGCTGCATCCGCTCCGGCACGTCCGTCTTACGGATCTGTCAGCGGTGACACACAGCCGTCAGTGACGGACAAGTCCGTCTTACGGATATGTCAGCGGTGACACAAAGCCGTCAGTGACGGACGAGTCTGTCTTACGGATCTGTCAGCGGTACCACGCCAGTAACGAGTTCGTCTGACGGATCTGTCAACACACCATCAGCCACGGAATATTTGCACCTGAGACTGATCAGGCCGCTCCAAACACTCGTCAATACGCAGTCATGTTCACTAAATGACAGTTCTGTTATTGACGGCCAGCCATGGCAGACCGTCACATCCGTCTGACATATGTCAACATATGACCACCAACATAAGCCGTCAGTGTGGGGCGAGTCAGTCCCAGTCGGCCGCCACACCGGCTGGGGACCGCGCAGGAGACCGCTGAGGCATCTGACCCACCCTCCCACCCACCCACCCGCCGCGACCGCGCGCTCACCGTGTTGTCCAGGTCGGTGAAGTGGCCGCGCTCCAGTTCACTCGGCTCGTAGATCTCGTATATGGACTTCTTTTTGGCGGCCTTTTTGCGCGCGCGGCGCCGCGGCGCGTCCGGGTCGTCCTCCTCGATACCCTCGTCGTCGGCATCGCTCTCCTCCTCCACGCCGTACTTGTCAAACTCGTCAAAGTCGAAGTCGACGCCGAAAATGTCCTGCGCCTCCTGCAGGGCCCTGCGGGTCGCCAGAGCAGGGTCAGCCAGATCATGTGTACAGAACTGAGTCAATCCGTGCGACTTCTGACAGTCACAGAACACTGGTCTCCGTTGTAACAGGCGCCCTAGGAAAACATGATGACGCGATGCGGAACACCGAAAATACAATAACACAAGATAGGAACAGCAAACCGTTACTATTGTGCACTGATCAGCCCGGATATCATCAAAGTCCATTTATGAAATAAAACATGAACTCGCAAAACTTACGCGTCGGCGAAGATGTGTTTTTTCTTCTTGGGTCCCTTGGAGAGCGGCTTTCCGTCCTCGTCGACCAGGAAGTCGTCGACGTCCTCCTCGTCCTCGACCTCCTCGTCGTCGGGCTCGACGCCCTCGCCGCCGGCCGAGCGCTCCTCGTGGTCGGCCGGCTCGCGGCCCTCCGACGACGGCCGCTCCTCCTGCACGAGCGGCGGGAGAGCGAGTCAGGCCGGGCCGAGCGCGGGCGCCGGGCGTCCGCACAGCCTCAGCACAATCGGCACCCGCGGGCACTAAACAGGAGCCCTCCGAACGACGCACTCATAGCGAGAATGTGTAGTAGGTAATCATACACTGTATTCATACTATCATGATATCTTGCCTATCCTTACAGCCCGAGACGACGAACGCTCATGGAATGTCTATTTGTACTCAGCATAGAGAAGGACTATTGAGTGAATAATGTGAAGACTGTAATTCCCTGTACGACTCACATCCCCAGAGTCGTCGCGCTCTTTGCCTCCTTCGTCAGAGTCAGAGTCCGAGATGCGACGAATCCGCTTCAGTTGTTGTTTCTGAAATCACACGCAGATTAATGATACGAGTGCATCTTAGTGGGCACTCCACTTAATTGTGCTTTGTATTGTAGCCATTAAAATACAAAAAGAGATGAAAAGGAAAGCGTTTCAACGAAAAGCGAGCAGCGCAATACGACGAACATCTGCCACCAGCCTGTTCACGAGTCAGGCTCTAATCGATTAGTCTGGCCATCCCGGCCGGCGGCGCTGACTCACGCGCGACACTTTGACGCCCAGGTTCTCCTCGATGAGGTCGTAGTCGTCGTCCTCTAGGCCGTCGTCGAGGTCGTCCTCGCGCGATCGTTTGCGGGCGCCGCGTCCGTCGCCGCCGGCGCGCTCGTCGCCCGAGCCGTCGCCGTCCGAGCTGCTGCTGTCGTCGCCGTCCTCCTCCTCGATCGGGTTGTCGTCGATCAGGTCCTTCATCTCCTCGCGCATCGCCTCCTCGTCATCTGTCGGCGCCGGGGACCGTTACAGGCCGGGAGCCTCACAGCATCATCTGCCGCCGTCGGGGACCGTTACAGCGGGGGAGGGGCTCCTTGTCATCTGCCGGCGCCGGGGACCGTTACAGCGGGGATGGGGGGCTCCTCGTCATCTGCCGCCGCCGGGGACGGTTACAGGGGAACCTTGCATCGCCTCCTGCTGACACAGCTATCCTGTCTGAATAAGGAGCATTCGTTCACATACACATCCATAGTTAAGACCCTGAATTAAATTGAAGTCATCTAATGCTAAAAAGCCGAATGAGGTGTTATTGACCATCTTACATCCAACATCTGAAAAGTAGCAGGCATACAAGGCAGGGGCAGTTTACCTTCTTCCTCCTCTGAGGAGTCCTGCAGTCTGTTTTTGTTCATTTTCTTCAGTTTCTTTTTCTCGCGGGAGGTGAGTTCCTCCTCATCCTCACTCTCAGACGCCTCTGAGTCGATGAACTCAGACATGGCGGCGGTTGGGGGCTGGGGAAAGGAGACCAGCTGTGAGCACAGCTCCCTGCAGCATACTGAATGGCACTGCAGCACACACTTCACACATCGAGCCTGAGGGTTGTCATACGGCAGAGTTCACATTGCAGCCTCAGCCCTTATCAAATGGGTGTACAACAGGCACATTACCAGGCCCAAACAATGCTTACCTCAAGGAACTATTGAAAGTGCCTAGTTAGTCATGATAATGATAAGTGACAGCAAATTCTTCATTTTTAAGAACAATAGAAAATTTTATGATGTTTGGAATGAACCACATTCAAGCAGCACTTGCCACTTGAATAGTAAACTGAGGAAAAAAGTTGTTTGGAACTGAAAAAAAAAACATTTACCATTCCTGAATTCTGCATCAAATGAAGATCCAAACCCCTGCACCCAGGAAAAAGAATCATCTATTTCCCACCCAGGAAAAAGCTTCTATATTAATTCCAATATATATAATTATTCTATATTAATTCTATATTAATTCCAAAGAATTAATGTAATGCTATTATTGAGATCATGGATAGCCAATTAAAAAACAGGCAGGTGTATGACTTGACAAGGAAAAAAGCTATAAAAAGTGTGCCTTTGCACAGGCCTCATGCCTTTCTAAATATAGGTACAGGCAGTAAATTAGCTAGGTAATATTTAATCAGATACTTGCTCCTAGGAATAATGCATGTTTCACGGCATGTAAGAATCTATGCATTCATTGATATCTGCAATGTATTTTCTCTTTGCTGCTGCACCACATTCCCACCTAGGGCCCTGTTTCACAAACCCCATTGTATGATACCACAGGATCTACCAGGTTTCTAATTTCTGTGGTAGGTAGGTAATGCAATCAGAATCACCAATTTTTGCTTAAATTTCCATTAAATTGAGTGTCAATACCTGATGCTTCAATACCTGATAGGCAATAGCATCAGGTTGAATCATGCGCTGAAAGAGGGTCCAAGCAAGTCATGCAGTATGCACAGTCACACATTCAGTTCATGCCATTCTTTGTCCATGCGACAGAGCCATCCATTCTAGACACCCTGCAGGAACATGTTGACGCAACAGCAGCTCTGCACATTGTCACCAATCCCAATCCCAAGAACACAGACCAGTTTTACCAACAGAAAATAACCACCTGCTGGAATTTTTTGCCTAAAGACCGCGGTATATGTCAAGTTTAGGTCCTAACTACAACTGTGGCGCTTTTGATACGAATATGAAACAGCAAAAATTCTAGGTTTTAGGTTAGGTTAGGTTGTAGGTTTGTAGGTTTTAGGTTGTAGGTAGGTAGGTTTGTAGGTTAGGTTAGGTTAGGGTAGGTTTGTAGGTTGTAGGTTGGTAGGTTATAGGTAAGTAGGTAAGGTGGTATTTATTTACTTTAGGACCGGCAGCCTTTACTTTCGTCGCGAACCCCAAGTGATAGTAAGAAGCATATCACATGACATAATTTGACCTTTTGATTTCATAGCTGATAGTCATTCATGGCACAAACAAGTTTAAATGCACCAATACAATATTTACCGTCACCGCCGTAGATCCCCACTGACTGCGTACTCCACCGGCCACGCACTGCGCTCCAAGGTTTAGTGAATACATAATAACGATGCTATTCAACTGTGAGGAAAGTGACGTCATTAAATTTCTCGTTGCGAAGCAGCGGCAGTGCCGAAGGCAATGCCTTAGGAGAGATTACAGGCAATGGTAGGTCAAATATTTTTAGGTTAAGTGGTTGTGTATTTGGCTTCAGGCCGAAGGCCTGAAGCCTAATGCACAATCACTTAACCTAAAAATATTTGACCTACCATTGCTTGCAATCTATTCATGCCGGCAACTTTTTCCTTATCCCCGGGTAGGCAAATATCAGTAGGTCAGGTTAGGTAAGGTTAGGTTATGTTCTGATAATTTTTTCCGTGTTTAATTTGCTATTCTACCCCATTTGCTCCCCCACCCAAAAACCCCAGTTCCCAACATTTCCCCTATTTTGTTTGGTATTATGACGTCATTTTCATTGAATTAAACATGCAAACATTTTTCCTTTTCGCAAATGGCAACGGTGCAACCACGTTGTTTATCCTAATCGCCGCATTCGTATAATTTCGTCGGTGTACGTTACGTGACGCGGGGTGAGATGACTGGATTTTATCAAGTTTTTGTGTGACTTTTTGCAGTTTTGGTGACATGTAAGTATCATTTCTTGATTTAGGATGTCAAATAATGGAAGATTGTCGAAAATTTCCCTTTGAAAAAGTGTGCCGGTCCTAAAGTAAATATTTACCGATAAGGTTAGGTCAGGTTTGATTATGTTGTTTTCTTTTATTTGCGAGACATATGAGTATCATTTTTGGATTCAGGATGTCAAATAATGTAGAAATATGAAAAATTTATCAATGAAATCTTCTTAGGACTTTAACTTGACATTTACCAAGACCGCTTCACATACAGAGTGTGAGAGTGTGAGCGGTAAAGCCCGATCCGCTTACGTACCCATCTCGTTTACGCTCTGTTAGAGAAGACTTTTACCGCAGTCTTATGCAAAAAAAAAAATCTGGCAGGCAGTTATTTTTCTGTTAGTAAAACTGGCCTCTGATCCACGCTGCAAGCCAGCCAGCTCAAGCTCTGGAGTGAATAAGACTAATCTAAGTTCAGCCCCCAAACTACAGAAACTTGAAAGCCCGTCAAAACTCTTAGGAACGGACGCCATTTAATTGCGTCCCAGAAAAGCTATTTCTGGCACCTAAAAGCTGACTTGCCCCAAAATTGGTCCTCAGCACCTATTTGGTGGATACCAGCACCAATCATGGAAAATGACCTTAATTAGCTGTTTCTGGCACCTATTCATCGGTACGCCTTACTCTTTTTTCTGAATCTGGCACCTAAATGCTGAGCGTAGCACCAATCTAGTAGAAAAATGAACTACTGGCTGGTAGAATCATGTTGTTCTGGTATAATGACCCCTGGAGTCTAGCCTAAAGGTTGCCAGTGCAGCTACACTCTAAGACAGCCCCGTAGTGATCTCAGCATTGTATATGACGTTTAAGTAAGCAAATAATATTGATTTGTTTGAAAAAACAATGTCATTTAAATATTTAAAAGTATTTATTTGTAATGCTTAAAGGGAAACATTTTTGTGAGTAATTGTCTCGATTTTGACCATTAAAACGGGTATTGTATTTTTTGACGTCATCAAATAGCTCCAAAAAAGAAATGTAATGTTTTCATTCCGTTCAAGGCCGCTGAAGAAACGCGGGATCTTGCATAGGACATTGTCCGTTGTTTGCCGAGCAGAGTTGTGCCGTGGTTGTGCCTTTTTCATCTGTTTCTTACTTATGTCATATGTGTGCATGAAGCTTTGATTTTGTTTTTGGTTATTGTGTGGCCGGTCAGTCAAACGCCCCTGTAGAAACCGGATGCTGCGTTTGATCGAGATGAAATCAGACGATGATTGCAGAAAGCTAATAATATTGAAAAGAGGGCCGGTTGCGTGGCATGTCTGTTCAGAGTTGACATTTTGCTTTACTCCAGTTTATGACCTGAGAGCCTGGCTGGAAGTGACGGATCCAAACTTTTCACGTTAAAATGGCTGAGGGTGCAATAATCTCTAGTCTCTACATAGCGGGCTGGTATAGGAGCGTCTTTGCTATGCTGCACCATAGCTGGCTAGTGATTCTCTTTTGGCTAGAAATGGCATTAATCATTATCTCCACTGGCGAAAATGGCACTTGACATCACCGAATGCAACGTTCATGTTGTTAGGATACATAAAATCAGGAAAATTACGCGAATTAGGTAGGCAAACGTGGAATAAAATAGATGCTGGATGTTTTGGTTTTGGTGCTGAATCAGCAAACAGCAAATACGGAGTTCAACTAGACGATCTGGCAACTTTAGGCTGTGTGGAAGCAATTAGGTGCCAGATTCAGATATTAGGGTCGAATAAGCATTTTGAGGCTGATCAGCAATTAGGTGCCAGAAACAGCTTTTTAGGGACCAGAAACAAATATTCCCCCTTAGGAACTGCCCCTTGGTCCACTCCCTTTGCTATCGAAAAAAAAATGCATTTCAAACAAGCACATTTAAAACTCTTGCTTTACCTCGCCGCGCCTTCAATAAGATGGAGAAATTGAAATAAAACACGCGAACACACACAGACTGCGCGGAGAGGCAAACGGGGCAAACGGCAAACGGCAAACGGCAACAAGCAAATGAAACGCACTGGAATCAAGGATTGCGAAATAAGGTCTTTGTGAAACTTACTAAGTAACTGCAAAAAAGGTAAAAAACAAAGCCTTAGCTCCAACTTGAATTTTTCTTTTTCTTTTGATGAAAAAAAAGTTTTCGAAGATGAACAAAATATATAAAGCCCATAAATGATCGGAAAACGAAACATTTAGTTGACATGTTGATGAAAAGTGGAAGGTGGACTGAATAAATGCAGCAAAGACATAAAGACCTTTATCACCATGGATAGGTACTCTAAATCGTCATTTATCGTAAATTGTTAATCGTTTATCGTTAAATTAATATGAAGTCAAAATTTGGCATATTTTAATTATTGTGTCAAATTTTTACTTGTTAACGATACGACTTAACGATAAACAATTTGCGATAAATAACGATTTAGAGTAACGATTAACGAAAGGTCTTTGCTGCATTTATACAGTCATTTCGTTGACAGCTTATGTTCAAATTGAAAAAAGCCAAATATCTATATGATATACTATTTGTTTGGTATCATTTGTAATGCCATGTCTGCCATATCACCATTTCTAGGTACTAGTCGGTTGCGCCGATCATTTTTTCAAAGAAAAATGATCAAACGTGATGTGTTTCAAACCTAAACTAGTTATTGCGTCAATCATTAACGCAATATAATTGACGTATCCATTGATAAAACGAGTGTTTTATAATTACCTGCCCTGAGCCTCCGTTTACGTCTGAGTGCGCAGATTTGAGTACTAAGCGCAGCGCCATCTGAGCCCCCGCGCCGCGCGTGGGGGAGTTCGTTGTCGATTGATATTCAACGAGAGCGCGCCCTAACTCTTCAACAACAACAACATATTCAACGAGAGTCAGAGCGGGATAAGTGCATTAGTATTATTTTCTGTAAGTTTATTTTATTTTGAGACCACATAACACTTTTTTTCATCTTCAGCTCACTTGTTGAGGTAAGCTTGGGTTTGTTCCCGTCGCTCCTCTAACCTCCTCCAAGCTCCTCTAACCTCCTCTCGTTTCAAAAAGGGACCGTGTATATCACACCACGGTGAGATTTACACAGTACCGGCCATTTGTGTAAATCACACCCACCCCGGTGTGATATACACAAAATCTACTACGTAGTGTAAATCACACCCGGGTGAGGAATACACAGAGAGGGCAGCTGTGTGTATATCTCACCACGATGTGACGTCATAGCAACGCTGAACGTCCATTGGTCAGAGCAGTGACTCTGCTCGCCCATTGGTCAGATCAGACTAAGCACTACGAATATTCCGGCGGGATTCCGGGCGTCCTCTCTCTCGGAATCAGCTGACCGCCTGGCCTAGTGGTGAAGGTGCTTGCACCATGATACGAATGTTGCGGGTTCGAGTCCCGTCGGCGCGGGCGCTTTTTCCCGCATTTTCGCTTTTCCTTGGTAGCGGTGGGTTCGCTGCCGACCGACAAGTTTAAAAGCACCAATACAATATGGAAAGCGACGTCTGAATGCTCGTGGCGAAGCGGTGCAGTGCCGAAGGCAATGCCTTAGGAGAGATTACAGGCAATGGTAAGTCAAATATTTTTAGGTTAAGTGGTTGTGTATCTGGCTTCAGGCCGAAGGCCTGAAGCCTGATGCACAACCACTTAACCTAAAAATATTTGACTTACCATTGCTTGCAATCTCTTCATGCGAGTAACTTCTTCCTCATCCACGGGTAGGCAAAAATCAGTAGGTCAGGTTAGGTTAGGTTAGGTTAGGTTAGGTTAGGTTAGGTTAGGTTAGGTTAGGTTAGGTTAGGTCAGGTCAGGTCTAAGGTTTGGTTAAGTGTCTTGTTACCGTGCCTACTGTGTAAATCTCACCCAGGTGCTGCGTGGTTTGACACCCAGGTGTGATTTACCCACTACCGAGCACACAGTGTATATCACACCCTGGTGAGATTTACACATTGGCTAGGCCTACTGTGTAAATCACACCCAGGTGCTGCGTGGTTTGACACCCAGGTGTGATTTACACACTAGGAACACATTGTGTATATCACACCACGGTGTGATTTACGCATTTGCCGGGCCTACTGTGTAAATCACACCCAGGTGCTGCGTGGTCTGACACCCGGGTGTGATTTACACACTAGGAGCACATTGTGTATATCACACCCCGGTGTGATTTACGCATTGCCGGCCCACTGTGTAAATCACACTCCGCGTGGTGTGATATACACAGGAGTAGTGTATTGTGTAAATCACACCCGGGTGAGGTTTACACTACAGTGCGATGCATTATGTAAATCTCACCGTGGTGTGATATACACGCGTCCTTTCAAAAAATCGTTCCCGTCGCTCCTCCAAGCTCCTCCAAGCTCATCTTGATTTCACATCTCACCACCACTATTTGCCTCCTCCCTCATCCAAAACGGAAGTTGGTTTTTTGGAGGAGGCTCTTGCGTAGACATATTTGGCGCACGTAATACAAATGTGAATTGTTTATAAATGAGATTTGAGGGAAGTGGAAATGATTTTAGTGATTGATGACGATTGGATATCTTTAAATAGTAATGTTTGATATTAATCTAAGGTTATTTTATTAGAAAGCGATTATTATCTCTTGATTTATGCTTGCGCGCCATAAATCGCCGACCGTTACAGCCCGCAAACAGCTGATTTCCTCGCGAAAATGTTCCCGTGGCTCCTCTGAAACGGCTCTCCTCCAAGCTCACGTTTATATACTTAGCTTCAAATTCAAATTCAGATTCCAAATTCATATTCGATGGAAAAAATGATAAAAACGGACCCCTTAGAATCTCACCAAATTTACACCAGCCACTCACCATGACCTGGTCATTACAGAATAAAATTATCTAAGCTCGGCAAGCCCTGCGGGCTGAGATATCAGGGGTCAAAGTTCAAGGTCATTGAGGGCGGACCCCTCAGAATTACCTCAAAATTTGCACACAGATGCAAGTTGACCTGCTGAGCACGATGGGCATAAAATCTAAGCCCGGCAAGCCCTGACCTGGAAGTTAGGTCAGGTCAAAGTTTGCAGCCACGTGGAGGTCACGTGACCCTTTTACAGCGGACCCCTCAGATTTTAATGAAATTTTGTGAGCTGATGCATCTAGACACCCTTATTAATATCCTAAATTATCTAAGTTCGGCAAGCTCTGGGGGCTGTGATATGAGGGGTCAAAGGTCAAGGTCATTTGAGAGCGGACCCCTTCAATTTTTGTTAAAACTCAAATCACCCCTCAACTTTGTCTTCTGAATTTAATGGTAAAAATTTCTAAGCTCGGCAAGCCTTAGAAAAGCCAGAATGAGTATTTTGAAAACGAGCATTTGTATTCCAATATGGCTGACAGGTAGGTATTGTGGCGCATCAATGACAAAACTGACGCGTAAAATGTAAACAAACAACATGCTTCCAAATGAAGCAATTCCTTTACAAATCGATCGATTTTACTATTTCCTTCATAGATAGTGGCCGTTTAATGTCTATTGATGGATTACGAGTCTACGACCTCATACTTATCTTCCTTCATAACGGGCCAGTGACCCCTGATATAAGCCCTTGGTGGATGAGTGACCTCTAACCTTTTCCAGTACCTACAGGTCACACACATTCGACCTATCCCCGAAGATCGCTGACCATAGGTGTCACTTCAACTTGAGCTCTCACATCTCCTAAGTCAGATCTGACCTGAACTGAGATGAATGACGCGTCACGGGCCGCTGACCTCCGTTATGTGGGTCATTGACCTTTGACGTACCCAGAAAGGAATCACTCACCTGACATGTTAAAAGGACCAGTGACCTCTGATTTGTCTGAACTCTCGCCCGTGTGCGGTGTGCGGGTGAAGGGGCCGGAGGTACGTTGGAACCCCGCCCGCCGCCGTTCGGGCCCCTGATGGAGTTAGAGCTTCGCGGAAAAACGAGTGTATTGCGAGCGTTACGAGTTATCTTAGGATAACCAGTTTTAGTCCTGGGTTAGTGACCTCAGTTGACCTCGTATGACCTGCACACCAATATGACCTGCTTTCACATACGTCACAGACATTTTACCATAAAGATGACTGAGTCGTTTTCATCTCATTGTCGCTTTGTAGGTCACACCATTTATTGATGAACCAAGTTAGATAACCCGACGACTTCACGTGAGGATCCATAGTAACATGTCACAATCGGCATTAAGCAGCCTCGCCTCGGCAAACACTGACGAATAGAAAACACTCCGCAGTCCCCACGCCTCCGCCAGTGATAATAAAGCCTACAAAACGTTAACTGGTCAACTCCGAGCAGTCGCGCAGCACTAGTCAGTCAATGAGTACATTGCGACGCCGTCAACATGGGCGGGTCCCGTGGTGGACAGTGACAAGTCGTGCTTAGCTACGATACGTAACATAAGATACGGCCGCGCCCGTACAGATCACCCGCGCCGTACGGCCCCAAACACGACCAAACACTGGCGGCGGTACACGGGCTCGCTCGGACCGCTCCAGTCGCTGCTGGGTGACTGAAGTCACTTCAAGCTGAGCTCAACACATCAGAGATCCCACCTGAGCGTCCGGCGGCGACGGCGAGGTGCCGTCTCACCGGGCTGGCCAGCAGACTGAGGCAGCTGGCGCACGGCAGCGTACCGTGCTCATATTGCGCCGGCACTACGCCGATGGCACCTCGCATTTCGCAACACGAGCTGATTAACAGCTCCGTCCGGTACTCGAGCACCTTGCGGCTGTCGCGGTAGCGTTTGAACACATTAAATGGGTTCATGTCCGTCTGTTGTTGTTGTTGTTGTTGTTGTTGTTGTTGTTGTTGTTGTTATTGTTATTGTTGTTGTTGTTGTTGTTGTCTCCCTCCAGCCCTAGGGCGTATCCTGCCGGCTCTGGAGGGGGACGAAGGCGGCCCCTAGGGCCGCCACTGCGTCGATGCTGCGCAGGTCCTCGTGGGTCGGGTGTATAGTTCCGAGCACTCGGAACCGGCAGTTGCACCAGGGCGGGACACCGCATCAGCACGTGGGCTGAGGTGTCTGCTTCCTCACGACAGAGCCCGCACCGGCAGTTGGCGATACCAGCCGTCGGGCCAGGCCGCTATGGTCCTCGCACGCGCCAGCCTTGCCGCTGCTCTCTGGATCGTTCTGGTGTCCAGTGGTGTGTGTCTGAGTTCTGGTCCAGGGCGGAGGCCTCCCCCGCCAGGGTGTCTGCCCTCTCATTTCCAGGAAGGCCGCAATGCGAGGGGACCCACTGGAGGTGAATGGGTCGTCCCAATGAGGCCAGGGAGCGCAGGGCTCTCCAGATCCCGACTCCGAGCGATGTCGACTGCGCCGCTGGTCCCTCGCGGAGCCGTGAGAGTGCCGCCATGGAGTCGGTCAAGAAGATGATCGACATGATGAGGCGGACAGTGACACCCCGCAACACGTCCTGCTGCGCTGCCCGTGCCTCTGCGGGGCCCGCCTTCTTCTTCTTCGTCGCACGTCACGTGGACGCGCCCGCAGGCGCGTCGGACGGGGGCTGGTCGAGCGGCGGCTCGGACCGCCCCACCCGCCGAATGTATTCAACTATCTTGCCGGCCGGCCCGGAGAGGACCTCGTCGAGGGATGGCAGGGGTCCCCCCCAGAGCCGGCGTCTCGTGGTGGCGAATGCTGGGCACTCGGTGAGGAGGTGGCAAACGGTGTCCTCGGCACCGCACTCCCGGCAGAGAGGGTCCGGGGTGAGCTCCAGACGGTGGAGCGTCGCTCGTGCCAGGGGGCAGTAGCCGGTCCGCAGCTGCGACACGGTCACTTGCCCCCAGCGCGGGAGGTCTTGGAGTCCAGGCGTGGGCTGGGGGTGCGGGTGCCGGTGTGCACGCGTGGCCTGCATTTCCCTGGCGCGCTGCCGTATGGCGGTTCGGGCGCTGGCCAGATCGATGGGCGTCTCCGATTGGGCACACTCGGCCGCCGCACGGTTAGCCAGCCTGTCTGCCGCCTCGTTGCCGGCGATGTCGGCATGGCCTGGGACCCACTGGAGGATGATGGCCGTGTTCTGTTCCCCCAGTGAGCCCATCGCGGCCCAGACGCGCTCGGCGAGGACCAGCTTCTGGGCCTCCGGTCCGCGCTGGAGTAACTGAAGGCCGGAGAGGGAGTCGGTGCACAGCAGGCATGTCTTGATGCGGCTCCTGGTCTCTCCCGGTTGTGCCAGCAGGCAGGTGAACGCCGCCAACATCGCTGCGAGTTCGGCCCGCATGCTGCTGCAGACCGAGCCCGCCGGTACCAATGTCTCCACTTCGCGGTTCTCCCGGTGCAGCTGGATCAGCGCACCGCCGCCTCCGTCCCTGGTGCCGGACTTGGCGGAGCCGTCGGACCAGATGGTGCAGTCCGGGTTGACCATGGCTATGGCCTCGAGGGCGGCAGCTTTCCTCACGGCGGGTGGGTCGTCTCTTCTGGTGGCGCGCGGGAGGGAGAGGCGGAAGGTGACCGCGTCTGCTGGGTTGGTCCACGGCGGCTGTTCCGGGACCAGGGCCAGCGGTTCCCGTGGGAGGTCCGCTAGACCCGCCTCCTTGGCCATCCACTGACTGACCCGCCGGAAGCACGGTTTGAAGGGCAGCGCCGTGTCCTCGCTCGGGGGGTCCGGCGGCGGTTCGCCGCGTCTTCTGGCCTCAGTGCGCGCTCGCTGCCAGGCCTCATGAGCCCTGTGCTTGAGGCGTGGGCGGACGTGTCGCTCGGTGAGGGCTCTGGCGGGGTCTCCTGGCGGCAGTCTGGCGAGTCGCTCCTGCTCCATTGCTGCTATTTCCCAGCCTCTCACTGCGAGTGGTGGCAGGCCGGCCTCGGTGATGAGGGTCTCCGAGTTTGTGAGGCGGATGCAGCCAGTGATCACTCTGGCGCACTTGTGCTGCTCTGCCTCGAGCCGGGCCCGCACGGAGGGTGCAGCGTGGGTGGAGTAGAGGGCAGCTCCGTAGTCGGCCACGCTGCGGATGTACGCGATGTAGGCCGCGCGCAGCGTGGCTTGGTCACAGCCGTATGACCTGCCCGCCAGAGCTGTCAGACAGCATCGGCGCTGTGCCATCCTCTTCTTCACTTCCTCGATGTGGTTGGTGAAGGTGAGCTGGCTGTCCAGGGTCAGCCCCAGGAAGGTCGGGTTCTTCTCGTGCGCGAGCTGGTCGCCTTTGAAGGTCAGTGTCGGGACGACCTTTCCGTTGACCTCCTTGGCGTGTAGCGAGAAGGTGGTGAAGACGCACTTGCTTGGGCTGGCCTCGACCTTCCACTTGTCCAGCCAGCGGGCGACTTGGTCCAGATCCGGTTGCAGCTGGTCGGCGCACGCCTGCAGCGAAGGTCCAGTAGCCAGGAGGGCGGTATCGTCCGCGTAGAGAGAGCGGGTGGTGTTGGTGTTGATGTCTTCATCGAGGTCATTGCAATAGATCAGCCACAGTAGCGGCGCCATCACGCTGCCCTGCGGGAGGCCCTCTTGGAAGACGCGCTGTGATGAGCGGGCGTTTCCCCACCTGACACGAGCACGCCTGTCCGTGAGCAGGGCCTTCACCCACCGCGTGGCGCAGCCAGGGATGCCCATCTTCTCCATCTTGTGGAACAGGCCGTCCCGCCATACACGATCGTAGGCCTTGGCGAAGTCTAGCAAGACTAGGATGGCGCGATGGTGCTTCGGTTGTTCGAAGGCGTCGAAGATCGATTGGGTGACTCGGAAGAGCTGGTCGATCGTGCTGTGTCCCTTGCGGAAGCCGGCCTGGTTCGGGTTCAGCTTCTTGTGTCGCTCCAGCCAGTGTTGGAGCCGGTTCTGCACCAGTCTCTCGGCGAGCTTGCTGATGGTGTTGAGGAGGCTGATTGGCCGGTAGCTGCTTGGGAGGGCCGGCGACTTGCCCTTCTTGGGGATGGCGACTATCTCTGCGGCGCGCCAGCTGGCGGGGACCGTGCCTTCGGTCCAGCTACGGTTTAGGACCCGGAGCAGCTCCGTCTCGCCGGTAGGGCTCAGTTGTCGGAGCATGTCGTTGGACACCATGTCCGGGCCGGGGCTCTTTCCGGGCTTCAGCTTGGAGAGGGCGTGTTGTAGCTCGCGGCGGGAGAAGGGGGAGCAGAACCCTTCCTTGGTGTCGCCGCACTCGCAGGTCTTCCCGGCGCGGCGTGAGCTGAGTTTGATGGCATGGTCTTCCTGCTTCCGTTTGGGCAGTCTCGAGACGGCAGCGTAGGTCTGGCAGAAGAGGTCGGCCTTCTCTCTGTCTGTCACCGCCGCCTTGGTCGGTGCTGTCTGACCGGCTGTCGGTGGTCGTTGTATGGGGACGGCCGGTTTTGCTGGTGGGACGCGGCCGTCGAGGATCTTGATGGTTCTCCAGAGGTCGGTGTCAGCTCCCATCTCCTCGGGGCCCGCCTCCTCGCCATGAGCAACATTTACGGACGCTCCACCGACTTGAGACGGGACGACGTGGTGGCGGCCTTGGCCGCCGGCTTTCGGTCCTTCCAGAGCCGAACGACTACGCCCCGGTGACGGGCCGAGGGGAATACAACAACAACAAAAGATGATCGCGTCCTCCAAGTGTGCGGGGTTGTTGACTAGGTGGTTGACAGCTCTTTGGGGTGCGATCATCTCCGCTCTGTAGCTAGAGCAGAGGCGGCCGGCGGCGACGCGGAGCGTCTGTCACCTCGCCGTCCGGCCTCTTGATGAAAGCACCCGCTCCTCCGTCGGTGATGCCTCCGGATGCCGATCCGTCGGTCCAGCACCACGTGGCGCACTGCTGGAGCGATGCCAGGTGGTGTGTCGCGGTGGTGTGTCTTTGCTGGGCTGATGGTGCTGGTGTTAGCGCCGCACCGATATCTAGCCGGAAGTTGATCGGACCTGTTGAGGCCCATGGAGGCTCTCGCGGGGGGAGTAGCGGCTCGATGGGGGGAGCGACCCCGATCGCCGCCAGGACCTCTCCTCCCACTTGTCGCCATCCAGTTGTCCTCAGTCTGCTGGGTGGGTTGCTGGACGCCACGACACGGAGCGGATCTCCCTCAGACAGGGCGAGGGCCTTCGCCAGGAGTCGCACCGCCAGGACTTGGCGGCGTTCCACCACCGGGGCGAGGCAAGCCTCCGCCATGACAGCGTGTGAGGGAGTCGATAGCGGGCACCCGGTGATCACTCGCGCCGCTGCACGCATCTCCCTCTCCAGGAGGGTCGCATGAGCGGGTGATGTGGCCGGGAGCCTGGTGATGCATTCGGGCACCAACCACCAGAGCGAGCAGACTGTGATCCGGTGGTCATCAATCTTCACTGCTCATCATCCATGGGTCGTGAGAAGCAGCGACGTTTCCCTGCGAATAAAAAATACAACACTTATCACTCTCTATTTTTGAGAAGTTCCACAGCCACCACACGAAGTCACCACACAGAAGGCGGGTTCGTCCCTAAAGCATCTCTTCTTTACCACTCATGTGGGACTCCAGGGCAGCGTTGGTTGTCACAGTGCTGGAGAGAAGCTGACTACACAGAGGGGCGAGAGGCATCACGCTGCATCACACTTCCCAACAGACAGGCGGGTCAGAGGCTACTGAGATCCGCGTCGTCGGACTGGAAGGCATGCTGCAAGCAGACTGAGCACCATGCGACAAAAAGAACAGAAAAACACGATAGCAAAATACACTTCTTAGCGCATTTTCGTCTATAACAGCGTTCGCGCGTCGTTTCACCTTGAGTTTGTTGTCGTAAATGATGGCGTGGTTGAACTCGACCGGCTGGCTCTGCTGCGTGCCGGCCACACCCTGGTTGGGCAGGTTGGAGCCGGCGCCGCCGACGAGCGCGGCCGACGCGGCGGCTGTGGGCGCCGCGGACGGCGGCGGCTGGTTGTACGAGTGGTGCGCGGTGACGTGGTGGCCCCCGACGCCGGCCGCCGCCGCACAGCGTGCGACAGGATGTTGTTGCCTGTTGGTGCCATACCTGATCCTGTGGCAAGCAACAGAATCATAGCGTCAGCAGGGGCGCATGTGATCAACAACGCTGGATATTCGCATATTATTTCAACAGGCAAAGAAAAAAAAAACAGCACAGGAGAAGAATGAATAGCAACCATAGCAGCCCTTTCCCTGACGTCCACACGCATGTAGTTGGATTCACCCTATCTGAAGGGTCAGGCCGCCAGCTCACCTCGGTGGGCGGCTGGTGACTCGGTTTGGGCGGCGCGCCGGGCGCCGTCGGCAGCGGCGGTGGCGGTGGCTGCTGCAGCTGGGGCTGCGGCGGCGGCGGCGATACTATCGTGTCCGTGTAGGTCTGGAAGCCGCCAGTGGGCGTGTACACCGCGCTGTGGTCATCTAGCCCGGCGCCATCATCCAGACGTGTAGGTACTGCCGGCGAGAGCATGCCAATTAGCGTCATGATGGTTGTATGAGCAGTGGCGAAACGAAGCTTACGTAATGAACAATACGGGGTCAGTTAATCAGGCCATATGAAACTCAGCAGAACTAGAATTTGCATTTCCCTACAAGATACAAAAACAAAACAGCTTTAAAACACAATTTTCATCAAAAGTCACTACAGACAGGTACACAAAACTACCATTAAATCGAACATCTCAACAAAAGTCAGTTTAGATGACTATATTGCGCTAAAAAATGACTATATTAGATTGACTATGCAGAGAGAAACGGGAGTCAGACACTCGACAGGGGACAGCGGCGGCTGCAGGACAGGGAACGGCGGCGCTCGCCGCTTGGTCAAATTAAACGTGCTCAAAATTGCGTAAGGTGACGTTCGTTTTTGCAGACGATACAAAAAGCAAATAAGTAACTGAGAATATGTAAGAGCAAGAACGGCATAAGTATGACATAAGAAAGCGGCCCAGCTTTAACTTACTTTTGCGCCTTGAACTCCTTCATGATATTGAGGAAGTCGTTGTGGACCTGTGGGTTGTTCTGGAACTTGGACTTGACCTGGTCCTGGTAGGAGAGCACGTCCTCCACCTTGAGTCGGTGGTAGCTGGGCTGAACGGCGCCGGCATCGGCGTCGGCGGCGGCAGCTTCCCGTCGCTGTCGGCACCCATCACCGCAGGGCAGGGCAGGGCAGGGCAGTCAGGCTGCGGCCATATTCGGCTGGTGGGCGACCAGCCGAATATGGTCGTCTGCCTGACAGGAGGTACGGTACATACGGGTCGGAAGCGGTTAGAGGAGAAGACAGCGTCAGGTAGGGCGGTTGGGCGGACGAGGGTCGCTCGAACAGTGCAGGATTCATGTTTCGGCTTTATCCGAATAAGCCATCGGTTCCGCAATTTGGCCAAAAAAGCTGCAGACAGAATGCATGAATATCCAGACATTCACCGGATCAACCAGTTACATATCTGAGTCTGCTTCAACACTCAAGCAAAGCCGCATATCCCACAGCATTACGAAATAAGCATGAGTGTGGGATTGGGGCCCAGACCAACTAGGGACCACGTCCGATCCTTCAGTCTTGGGCGGGACTCTTTTCAGCGCGCTGACACTGTGGAGTAGCCGAGTCGGCCGCCGGGACTCACCTGGGGCGCAGAGGAGTGCGGCACCGGCCCAGCGGCGGTAGAGGCCGGTTCTTCGCTGGCGCCGGCAGAGTACTGCAACGAGCCACCGCCGCATTCACTCTTCACCTATGCTGGTTCTACATGATGCCGTCTAAGGCGCCGTCAGCCGCGCCAGGCTCGGCTGGGCGGCCAGACTGGGCGACGAGAAGGGGCGGCTCGGCGGGAGAGCGGCGCACCGGCGGCACCACGCAAACAACGGCTGACGAGCCGTCACTACTCTCCGGCGACTCCTGGCGCTTCATCACATTCTCGACACGGCACAGGAACTGCGGGCACACGGACACGTACCGACCACACGTCAGCCGTCCGGCGCCGCCGCTCTACCGACCACAGACACCTGACAGGAACTGACTGACAAGGAGCTAAGAAGCTCAGGAGCCAGGGCAGGGCAGGGCAGGGCAGGGCAGGGCAGGGCAGGGCAGGGCAGGGCAGGGCAGGGCAGGGCAGGGCAGGGCAGGGCAGGGCAGGGCAGGGCAGGGCAGGGCAGGGCAGGGCAGGGCAGGGCAGGGCAGGGCAGGGCAGGGCAGGGCAGGGCAGGGCAGGGCAGGGCAGGGCAGGGCAGGGCAGGGCAGGGCAGGGCAGGGCAGGGCAGGGCAGGGCAGGGCAGGGCAGGGCAGGGCAGGGCAGGGCAGGGCAGGGCAGGGCAGGGCAGGGCAGGGCAGGGCAGGGCAGGGCAGGGCAGGGCAGAGCGGTGAGAGGCTGTGACATGAAGTGAGAGGCGGCGAGGGGCAGTGAGAGACAGTGAGAGGCGGTGAGAGGCAGTGAGAGGAAGTGAGAGGCAATGAGAGACAGTCAGTGAGCAGAGGCAGGCAGTCAGAAGCAGGGCAGGAGGCAGTGAGACGCAGTGAGAGGCGGTGAGAGGCAGTGAGCAAAGGAAGGCAGTCAGAGGCAGGACAGGAGGCAGTGAGAGGCGGTGAGAGGCTGTGACATGCAGTGAGAGGCGGCAAGAGGCAGTGAGAGACAGTGAGAGGCGGTGAGAGGCAGTGAGAGGAAGTGAGAGGCAATGAGAGACAGTCAGTGAGCAGAGGCAGGCAGTCAGAAGCAGGGCAGGAGGCAGTGAGACGCAGTGAGGGGCGGTGAGAGGCAGTGAGCAAAGGAAGGCAGTCAGAGGCAGTGAGAGGCGGTGAGAGACAGTCAGTGAGCAGAGACAGGCAGTCAGAGGCAGGACAGGAGGCAGTGAGAGGCGGTGAGAGGCTGTGACATGCAGTGAGAGGCGGCGAGAGGCAGTGAGAGACAGTGAGAGGCGGTGAGAGGCAGTGAGAGGAAGTGAGAGGCGGTGAGAGGCAGTCAGTGAGCAGAGGCAGGCAGTCAGAGGCAGGAACGGAGGCAGTGAGAGGCGGTGAGAGGCAGTGAGAGGCGGTGAGAGACGGTGAGAGGCAGTAGAGGCGATGAGAGGCAGTCAGTGAGCAGAGGTAGGCAGTCAGACGCAGGGCAGAAGGCATTGAGAGGCAGTGAGAGGCGGCGAGAGGCAGTGACATGCAGTGAGAGGCGGTGAGAGGCAGTGAGAGGCGGTGAGAGGCAGTGAGAGGCGTCGAGAGGCGGCGAGAGGCGGTGAGAGGAAGTCAGTGAGCAGAGGCAGGCAGTCAGAGGCAGGGAAGGAGGCAGTGAGAGGCGGCGAGAGGCAGAGAAAGGCGGCGAGAGGCGGTGAGAGGCAATGACATGCAGTGAGAGGCAGTGAGAGGAAGTTAGAGGCAGTGAGAGGCGGTAAGAGGCAGTGAGAGGCAGTAGAGGCGATGAGAGGCAGTCAGTGAGCAGAGGCAGGCAGTCAGAGGCAGTGCAGGAGGCAGTGAGATGCGATGAGAGGCAGTGAGAGGCGGTGAGAGGCAGTGAGAGGCGGTGAGAGGCGTTGAGAGGCAGTGAGAGGTGGTGAGAGGCAGTCCGTGAGCAGAGGAAGGCAGTGAGAGGCGGTAAGAGGCGGTGAGAGGCAGTGAGAGGCGGTAGAGGCGATGAGAGGCAGTCAGTGAGCAGAGGTAGGCAGTCAGAGGCAGGGCAGGAGGCAGTGAGAGGCGGTAAAAGGCAGTGAGAGGCGGTTAGAGGCGGCAAGAGGTGGTGAGAGGCAGTGACATGCAGTGAGAGGCAGTGAGAGGCGGTAAGAGGCAGTGAGAGGTAGTCAGCGAGCAAAGGAAGGCAGTCAGAAGCAGTGAGAGGCAGTAGAGGCGGTGAGAGGCAGTCAGTGAGCAGAGGCAGGCAGTCAGAGGCAAGGCAGGAGGTAGTGAGAGGCAGTGAGATGTGGTGAGAGGCAGTGAGAGGCGGTGAGAGGCAGTGAGAGGAAGTGAGAGGCAATGAGAGACAGTCAGTGAGCAGAGGCAGGCAGTCAGAAGCAGGGCAGGAGGCAGTGAGACGCAGTGAGAGGCGGTGAGAGGAAGTCAGTGCAGAGGCAGGCATTCAGAGGCAGGGAAGGAGGCAGTGAGAAGAGGTGGGAGGCAGTGAGACGCGGGGAGAGGCAGAGAGGCGGCGAGAAGGGGTGAGAGGCAATGACATGCAGTGAGAGGCAGTGAGAGGAAGTTAGAGGCAATGAGAGGCAGTGAGAGGCAGTGAGAGGAAGTGAGAGGCAATGAGAGACAGTCAGTGAGCAGAGGCAGGCCGTCAGAGGCAGGACAGGAGGCAGTGAGACGCAGTGAGAGGCGGTAGAGGCGATGAGAGGCAGTCAGTGAGCAGAGGTAGGCAGTCAGAGGCAGGGCAGGAGGCAGTGAGAGGCGGTGAGAGGCAGTGAGAGGCGGTTAGAGACGGCAAGAGGTGGTGAGAGGCAGTGACATGCAGTGAGAGGCAGTGAGAGGCGGTGAGAGGCAGTGAGAGGTAGTCAGCGAGCAAAGGAAGGCAGTCAGAAGCAGCGAGAGGCAGTAGAGGCGGTGAGAGGCAGTCAGTGAGCAGAGGCAGGCAGTCAGAGGCAAGGCAGGAGGTAGTGAGAGGCAGTGAGAGGTGGTGAGAGGCAGTGAGAGGCGGTGAGAGGCAGTGAGAGGTAGTCAGCGAGCAAAGGAAGGCAGTCAGAAGCAGTGAGAGGCAGTAGAGGCGGTGAGAGGCAGTCAGTGAGCAGAGGCAGGCAGTCAGAGGCAGTAACGGAGGCAGTGAGAGGCGGTGAGAGGCAGTGAGAGGCGGTGAGAGGCGGTGAGAGGCAGCAGAGGCGATGAGAGGCAGTCAGTGAGCAGAGGTAGGCAGTCAGACGCAGGGCAGAAGGCATTGAGGGGCAGTGAGAGGCGGCGAGAGGCAGTGACATGCAGTGAGAGGCGGTGAGAGGCGGTGAGAGGCGGTGAGAGGCAGTGAGAGGCGGTGAGAGGCAGTGAGAGGCGTCGAGAGGCGGTGAGAGGCGGCGAGAGGCGGTGAGAGGAAGTCAGTGAGCAGAGGCAGGCAGTCAGAGGCAGGGAAGGAGGCAGTGAGAGGCGATGAGAGGCAATGAGAGGCAGTGAGAGGCGGTCAGAGGCGTTGAGAGGCAGTGAGAGGTGGTGAGAGGCAGTCCGTGAGCAGAGGAAGGCAGTGAGAGGCGGTAAGAGGCGGTGAGAGGCAGTGAGAGGCGGTAGAGGCGATGAGAGGCAGTCAGTGAGCAGAGGTAGGCAGTCAGAGGCAGGGCAGGAGGCAGTGAGAGGCGGTGAGAGGCAGTGAGAGGCGGTTAGAGGCGGCAAAAGGTGGTGAGAGGCAGTGATATGCAGTGAGAGGCGGTGAGAGGCAGTGAGAGGCGGTGAGAGGCAGTGAGAGGCGGTGAGAGGCAGTGAGAGGCGGTGAGAGGCAGTGAGAGGCGTCGAGAGGCGGTGAAAGCGGCGAGAGGCGGTGAGAGGAAGTCAGTGAGCAGAGGCAGGCAGTCAGAGGCAGGGAAGGAGGCAGTGAGAGGCGGCGAGAGGCAGAGAAAGGCGGCGAGAGGCGGTGAGAGGCAATGACATGCAGTGAGAGGCAGTGAGAGGAAGTTAGAGGCAGTGAGAGGCAGTAGAGGCGATGAGAGGCAGTCAGTGAGCAGAGGCAGGCAGTCAGAGGCAGGGCAGGAGGCAGTGAGAGGCGATGAGAGGCAATGAGAGGCGGTGAGAGGCAGTGAGAGGCGGTGAGAGGCGTTGAGAGGCAGTGAGAGGCGGCGAGAGGTGGTGAGAGGCAGTGACATGCAGTGAGAGGCAATGAGAGGCGGTGAGAGGCTGTGACATGCAGTGAGAGGCGGCGAGAGGCAGTGAGAGGCGGTGAGAGGAAGTCAGTGCAGACGCAGGCAGTCAGAGGCAGGGAAGGAGGCAGTGAGAAGAGGTGAGAGGCAGTGAGACGCGGGGAGAGGCAGAGAGAGGCGGCGAGAAGGGGTGAGAGGCAATGCCATGCAGTCATAAGAGGCAGTGAGAGGCAATGAAAGGCAGTGAGAGGCAGTGAGAGGCAGTGAGAGGCAGTAAAGGCGGTGAGAGGCAGTCAGTGAGCAGAGGCAGGCAGTCAGAGGCAGGACAGGAGGCAGTGAGAGGCGGTGAGAGGCAGTGAGAGGCGGCGAGAGGTGGTGAGAGGTAGTGACATGCAGGGAGAGGCGGTGTGAGGCAGTAGAGGCGGTGAGAGGCAGTCAGTGAGCAGAGGCAGGCAGTCAGAGGCAGGGCAGGAGGCAGTGAGAGGCAGTGAGAGGCGGTGAGAGGCAGTGAGAGGTGGTGAGAGGCAGTCCGTGAGCGGAGGAAGGCAGTGAGAGGCGGCGAGAGGCGGTGAGAGGCAGTGAGAGGCAGTAGAGGCGATGAGAGGCAGTCAGTGAGCAGAGGTAGGCAGTCAAGAGGCAGGGCAGGAGGCAGTGAGAGGCAGTGAGAGGTGGTGAGAGGCAGTGAGAGGCGGCGAGAGGTGGTGAGAGGCAGTGACATGCAGTGAGAGGCGGTGAGAGGCAGTGAGAGACAATGAGAGGCGGTGAGAGGCGGTGGAAGGCGCTGAGAGGCTGTGACATGCAGTGAGAGGCGGCGAGAGGCAGTGAGAGGCGGTGAGAGGAAGTCATTGAGCAGAGGCAGGCAGTCAGAGGCAGGGAAGGAGGCAGTGATAAGAGGTGAGAGGCAGTGAGAGGCGGCGAGAGGCGGTGAGAGGCAGTGACATGCAGTGAGAGGCAGTGAGAGGAAGTTAGAGCCAATGAGAGGCGGTGAGAGGTAGTGAGAGGCAGTAGAGGCGGTGAGAGGCAGTCAGTGAGCAGAGGCAGGCAGTCAGAGGCAGGGCAGGAGGCAGTGAGAGGCGGTGAGAGGCGGCGAGAGGTGGTGGGAGGTAGTGACATGCAGTGAGAGGCAGTGAGAGGCGGTGAGAGGCGGTGAGAAGCAGTGAGAGGCAGTGAGAGGTGGTGAGTGGCGATGAGAGGCGGTGAGAGGCGGTGAGAGGAAGTCAGTGAGCAGAGGCAGGTAGTCAGAGGCAGGGAAGGAGGCAGTGAGAAGAGGTGAGAGGCATTGAGGGGCGGCGAGAGGCGGTGAGAGGCAGTGACATGCAGTGAGAGGCAGTGAGAGGAAGTTAGAGGCAATGAGAGGCAGTGAGAGGCGGTGAGAGGCAGTGAGAGGCAGTGAGAGGCGGTGAGAGGCAGTAGAGGCAGTCAGTGAGCAGAGGCAGGCAGTCAGAGGCAGGGCAGGAGGAAGTGAGAGGCGGTGAGAGCCGGTGGGAGGCAGTGAGAGGCAGTGAGAGGCAGTCAGTGAGCAGAGGAAGGCAGGGGTTACATAACGCCTGGAGTTACAGCATCCATATGAAAAACTCATGCAAAAATTATGTGTGAATCAAGATTATTTGACAAAAGCTGCTCATCTTTATCAACTACCTACTTTGCGGGCTGGTACAGTTTGTTATATGTCACATCACTCTAGGCCCTCTTAAAGCTAGTTAGGTCAGGTGCGGCCGCAACATTTTCTGCGAGGCCATTCCAGATGACGATGAGAATACATTGGGTGGAGAAAGATTGTAGACGAACATCTGGTGTAGCATGTGGCACGCATACCTTGTGACAATAGCCTTGAGTACAGTTCCAAAATTGGATTGTCTGCACATAGGAGCCTTCCTGCAACTGAATACAGAGGGGTGTTCGCGGGCACCGTAAACTGCTGAGTTCACTGTGTGTGGTATGTACAGCAAGCTTAGGGGTAGGGGAAGGGTAACTGGTTCTGATGTCACAGCTGCATGCCATGCGGTGGACGGCCTGTGGCCAGTCCCGACCGACCACAGTGGTTGCTGTGTGCGGTGACGGAAGAATGGCTTAGGGACGCAGTGGGCGGAGCTTAGAGCTTGTGTATGGTCCGACTGCACACAGGGCCCGTGGACAGCCCTCAGATAGGTCATAGGTATGCATAGGTTTCAAAAGTACCTAGGTACCTAAAATAATCAGCCAGCATAAAAACTCATTCTAGGAATTGTGGCTGATAACCCTGATTCTGAAGCCACGCCCATTCCATGGATCACACATCATATCACCTTCACCTTAACTTACACACCATGGCATGTTCTATCAATAGGTATGTTATATGTATATACCTACACTCAAGGCCCTATATACCCTTACCCAAGATTCTTACCCTTACCTTGCCCTTACCTACACTACAAAATAAAATGAATATGGCGCGCTGCCTATTTACACGCGTCAATTATGTCGTTGATGCGCCACAATACCTACCTGTCAGCCATATTGGAAAACAAATGCTCGTTTTTCTAAATACTCATTCTAGCTTTTCTAAGGCTTGCCGAGCTTAGAAATTTTTACCATTAAATTCAGAAGACAAAGTTGAGGGGTGATTTGAGTTTTAACAAAAATTGAAGGGGTCCGCTCTCAAATGACCTTGACCTTTGACCCCTAATATCTCAGCCCCCAGAGCTTGCCGAACTTAGATAATTTAGGATATTAATAAGAGTGTCTAGATGCATCAGCTCACAAAATTTTATTAAAATCTGAGGGGTCCGCTGTAAAAGGGTCACGTGACCTCAACGTGGCTGCAAACTTTGACCTGACCTAACTTCCAGGTCAGTGCTTGCCGGGCTTAGATTTTATGCCCTTCGTGCTCAGCAGGTCAACTTGCATCTGTGTGCAAATTTTGAGGTAATTCTGAGGGGTCCGCCCTCAATGACCTTGAACTTTGACCCCTAATATCTCAGCCCCCAGGGCTTGCCGAGCTTAGATAATTTTATTCTGTGATGACCAGGTCATGGTGAGTGGCTGGTGTAAATTTGGTGAGATTCTGAGGGGTCCGTTTTTATCATTTTTTCCATCGAATATGAATCTGGAATCTGAATTTGAATTTGAAGCTAAGTATATAAACGTTCCAAGCTCATCCAAACTCATCCGAGATTTTTTGGGAGGAGCGACGGGAACAGACGTATATCATAACGTTTCACGGTTTGGTTTCATTGGTTCGTGATAAACCGACAGATTGATAAGTTTGTCCCGTTTCAGTTTTGAATTTTGACCGGTTTCCGATTTTTATTAAAATGGTCTTTTATGGTGTAGGTTTGAAGCTGGGTAGGGTAAAATCCATTAGGGTAAAATGGATTTTTCAACTCAAGGTTTGCCACTTATGCTCTGTTACTGTGGCTTTGAGCTCAAAGTTCAGTCGGTGACACAACAGGGAAATAAGCTAATATTAGAGCGCTCTATTTATTGCTCCCGCTACTTCACTGTCTCCCATAGGGCCCTGTGTTGAGCTGGTGTCGAGGCTCTAAAAATGACGCCGATTTTTGCACCCTTCTCACGAAAACCGCTCGGACCGCCTGGAAACTAATTGTTCCGCTTTAAAAATTTCATGATCGACGGAAAAATGAATGAGGAAAAGATTGGTCCTGAAATAATTCTGAACTCCCTGTAGAACATATCGAAATATGGCTGCAAACTAGGAGCATGTCAAAATCGGCAAAACAATACAAATAAACTTACCGGGATTTTTTTTTATTTTCCATGCATCTGTGTATGAAATCAGTCGGTTTTTCGGAAAGATCATCTTCTGTTTAATAAATAATTCCACAATTGAAATCGAGAAAAAAAATCATTTCTGCTGTGACAGCAGTTTTGGCATTTTGCCAGTAGCCCACAATGTGAGCTATACTTATAGGGTTATTGTAGTTGTCCAGTGACCAAGGCCAAACAATATTGGCCGAAATATTTGGACTTGCATACGCAATACAATCCCAGTGAATTCCGATAAAGTTTTATATCTACAATAGTGATAGTGTTTTGTCACTTGTCAAGTTGTCAGTTGTGCATGTTGCATGTTTCTCTCCCCTCGGCCTTCATTATCAGTTAAGTGGTGAATTGGCATCACTCAGTCTCCTCAGATCTCCATTGACTGTCTGTCAACCACCTAACTTGAGACGGTATTTGCTAATAGTGTCGAAAAGAAGTGATTGTAGACATTTTAGGAATATGAGCTCCGCTTCATGCGTGTTCCAGTGGTCATTTTGTCACATGTACCATAGTGTAATAAATGGAAACTGTTGTTCCCTTTTGAAGGTACTCGCGGATGCAGAAAGCGTTGGGCCTAATTATTAAACGCACCCTCCTATCAGCGACACACGAAGTCGACAAATATCATCCTTTTTAGAACAGGAGGAAACGAAAACTTGTGAACATAGCTGTACCTACAACCAGGGCTGCGGAGTCGGAGTCGGAGTCGGAGTCGGTCGGAGTCGACAGTTGTGGTCGGAGTCGGAGTCGGAGTCGATTTTAGAAACCCGAGCCGGAGTCGGAGTCGGAGTCACCGAAAATCTGTCGACTCTGCAGCCCTGCTAGGTCTGCGGAGTCGGAGTCGGGAGTTGGAGTCGGTCGGAGTCGACAATTCTGCCCGGAGTCGGAGTCGGAGTCGGAGCTGGTTTTTGAAAGCCGGAGTCGGAGTCGGAGTCGGAGTCGCCGAAAATCCATCGACTCCGCAGCCCTGCCTACAACAGTGCATAAGGAATTGAAATTCTGGGAGTTTTTGAAATTCGGAGAAACTCAAGTTGTCGACAGGTAGGTATGCCCCCTTGTACGTCAAAGACCGCCTTAAAACAAACGTCTACAAATGAAGGCAGTATTCGTATGTTCGTTGTAATTGCAGCAGCCTAGCAACATGCATTGCGGTCCGATGGCGAATTACATTCGTGCTAAAAAAAAAAACTATGCCGGCAACTGCCAATGTACTTAGGTCATAGGTGAGGAGAGGAAGGGTTATGTCAAATGTCAACATCATAGAAATGGCTTCATCTATTGAGCATTGCCTATTGTGCATAATTCAACCAATCAATGCATTTCGTTTCTTGCAATCTACTCATGCTTTCACTCCAGCTTCAGAGTAATCATCCCATATTGTACGTCTAAAGATATTGATTTCTATGGCGGTTTGCAATTGCTAGCCACGTCTTATCTCAGTTTGGTGGCCCCGCATCGGCCCACTCGTCCGCTCTAAAATTGACTTACGGAGGAGGATGGTGGCTTTTATTTTAGCTTCTCCGCTGACTGCGGGGAGCGCCGTCGCCGAGGTAGGAGCAATAATTAGCTTATGTTTGGGACTAATTTCCACGCTTTATCAACATTTTAATGTTATTTTAATTAATTCATGTTAATCTTTGACGCATTCTCTTTCTATTGATGCCATCCACCGGTCTGAGAAGTGCTGCCTTGCTGCGTAAGAGCCGATAAAAGATCACACTTTTAGGGGTATCTCTTCAACATGGGGCAGGAGCAATAAATAGAGCGCTCTAATTTTAGCTTATTTCCCTGGTATGTCACCAACTGAGTTTTAAGTTCAGAGGAGAGTTTTACCAACAGAAAAATAGCTGCCTGCCGGAATTTTTTGCCTGAACACCCCTTCACATACAGAGTGAAATGGTAAAGCCCTATTACATGCCCTATGCTGTCGCATTTACGCTATGTATGTGAAGCGGTCTAGCCAAAAAAGTCTGGCAGGCGGCTATTTTTCTGTTGGAAAAGCCGGCCTCAGAAGTTAATTTTTGTTTCAATTTTATGAACCTGTGTCACTGTTACCAATCCATGGTTGTTGTTTTTTATCTGAAGGATGCTAGCTTGGCTTGCTCACATTTCTTGGCTTTTCATGGGTGAACTTCACTTGGTCCATGCAGCATGACCAATGAGAGGTCAAGAAACACCAGCAATGAATTCCCATTTATGAAAACTAGCAATGTGCTGATATGAACAGTAACCAGCTCTTCGTTTAGGAGACTTAAAATATTAAGTGCTTGATTTGAATGTCTACCAGTATGAAAACTGAGCAGAAACCATGAACTATTGGCCATGGCCCATGGGCCATAAAGTCAACTCATAAGTCATAATTTCAGCTCATTCTTTAAACACTTGATCCAATTACAGGTTTTAGAAGCAAAATAGCGATACTAAAGCAGCATTAAGAAAATAATCATTCTGAGTTACCTATGGATAGGGTTGTTAATTATCCAGCATCACCATCTAGCTAGTATCTTTAATCAAGTAGATTGAGGATTTGTTTATTTCAGGTCAAATCAAAGTTATTAAAATATGGCAAGTAGTTTTTCACAGTGCTAATACCATCTACACAGTGTAGGAATTTAACCATACAATATTATTTTTTATTAGGGCTGCTGCTTTGAACAGTCTTAACCCTATTCCTGGCGGGGGGGGGGGCCTCAGGAGCCCCCCCCCCCCCCTGAGGTTTTTTGGTTATTTCTCCCAAACGCGTTGAGCTAGGAAGCTCAAATTTTCTGACTTTTCCTAAAAGGCTTCTACGCAACATGTCTGAAAATTTTGAGTTGATCTGACCTCAGGTCAGGTCACCAGAGGCGGTTTGGTGACCTTACCTCAGAAAAGTTTGCAATCACGCCAGAGCTAGAGTTTTTGACCGATCAATTTCTTCTCTTCAGGCTTTAGTTAGGGTACCAGTATGTGCAATTTGTATATCTCGGAATTTTGATATCGGTGACCTAAGGTCAGGTCAGTTTCGCGACCTCCCCATTATAAGTCAATGGGGGAAAAATCAACTCCCTGTTTTTAGCACTAAAACGGGTCGGAATGGCCCCATATACCATACATGACTTCATATACGATCAACCTTCACTACCTTGAGGTCTGTTTTGCTGTTGGGCAGCTGTGAGGTCATGTGACGTCATCAAAGGTCACCAAAGGTTTTTGGCCAATAACTCCGTACAGGAACAAGATACAGACGCGTGGATGGTCTCATTGTGTTCAGCTCGTCAAGACGCATCGAATGATATACATGATGACCTCGAGGTCACGTGACCTGAGGTCAACCTTTGACCTTGACCTTTCGAGGTCAACATATATATCATTCGATGCGGATTGACGAGAGGATCACGATGATGCCCTTAG